ATGATATGCAATAATCAGACTGCAGCTGGGACGTTTTGCTGACTGTCTCATTGTTTTCATTTGTGTGGGCTGAAGCAAGCACTTATGTGCCCCCGGAGAAGGCCACATACATGCTGGACACGTTGGGGGTGGGTGAAGACCCCACGCAGACCCACAGCATACCCTGGCCGCCCACTCCTTGGTGTCCTCTGAATGTACTGACACCGGGGGTGGGGGGGTGGGGACAAGTGGCAACCACTTGTTTCTATGTAAGGAAAAAGCCTCACATTTTTGGACTAATGGCTGAATGCTCATAATGCAAGATCCAGGCTGTGGCAGATTTACATGTTTATTGAGTGAGTGGTCCAAAGATGACTTGGACCCACTCCTATGGTTGCTGAAAGATTGGGGCGGGGTGTCCAGGTGCTCAGGTTTCAGGACACTAGGTGAAGGTGGAGGCGGGAGAGACCAGGCCTCAGGGAGGCACATCTGCTGGAGCCAAGTGCTGAGGAACAAGAAAGAATCCACTAGGCCCAAGTGCCCAAGGCAGAGAGGCACATTATCAAAAGGTCCAGGGCCAGAGGAAGATGACAAAGGACCTTTCAAAGAAGCAAAGAAGAAATCTTGGCTATTTGCAAACAGAAGAGGCTTTCCTGTGGCTGTGCATTTTCTTGAATGGTCTCCCTTGAATCTGACTCAGCACTCTCTCACTGGAGCACAGTGTAGCCCTGGAGTGCTGAGCTATAGGCATCTTGCAGGCTCTGGCCAGTGGTGTCCTGACCCCCTTCCATTGACTCCTAGGGTTGGTGACTATCTGTTAGCAGTTTGGGGCCACTCTAAGTTTGAGAGCACACCCTTGTTAAGGCAGAATGTGCCCCCTGCCTTCATTCTCTATGCTCCTGATGGTCTCTGCAGTGCCTATTCTTAGAGGCTGGTGGCCTGGGATACCATGAGGGTCAGGTATAGCCTGGGGCTGTGGTTTGGGGGACTTGATCCCCCCAAGCTCATGTTGGAACTGAATCCCCAATATGGTATTTGAAAGGTGTGACCTTGAAGAGGTGACTGGATTGTGAGGACTGTGCCTTTGTGAATGAATTAATCATTCATGGAGTAACAGGCTAATGATTTAATGGTCAGGAAGTAAGTAGACTGGGGGCTTTATAAGGAGAGCAAGTGAGCACTTTAGAGCACTCTTCTCAGCCCTCATTATGTGAATTGCCTTGAGGTGTCATGGGACTCTGCTGGGAGCCCCCACTGAGAGGAAGGCCCTCACCAGATGCACCCCTCAACCTTGGACTTCCCAGCCTCCAAAACTGTGAGAAATACATTTATTTCTTTATTAATCACCCAGTTTCAGGTATTCTGTTATAAGCAACAGAAAATGGACTGATACACCTGGGTGTGGCAGAGGTCACAGGGGCCGCTAAGGAGCTTTGGGTGGGCACTGCATCTCCTTGGACACCAGGTCAAGGAAGCTCTGTGCTGAGGGCAGGTGTGGCCCAGCCAGGTGGAAGAGAGGTGACAACTCATATGAGCTGGGGGAGGCATTAGAAGAGGATCTGCTGCCTGCTGAGGGTCCAGTCACCAAGGCCTGGCACCTGTCTGAGGAGGGGGTGGGACTGGGAGGTGCTGGCTGGGTCCTTCTGGGCAGCCAGGCTGGGTCTCAAAAGGGGTGGCCAGGAAGTTGGTTTGGGGTGATCTTGGCCAGTTGGGGGAGTGTGGCTCCAGGTTTGCATCTCTAATGCATGGGGGACTGTTAGGGCCTGAGGCCCCTCCTGCAGGTACCTCTGGACTCTCCTGCGGGCTGCAGGCTGCCCTCTGGAGGGGGCTACAGGGCCAGGGGGCTTCTGGGTGGCTCAAGTGGTGGGATTGGGAGCCTGTGCTCATCTTCATGCCCTAAGCCACATGTCTGTTTCTGCCACGAGGAAGTCAAGGATAGTGACACCTGAAACCCCCCACCCTGGGGTGTTCTCAGAGGGAACAGGGTGGGGCCTGGCTGAGAGACGGCTGCAGAGCTTGTCTGAGCTGATGTGCTACATGAGCCTCAGGCATGGCTGTGGTGTTGATCAGGCCAAGTAGAACTGGTGCCATCTGCAGCAGGTTGACATGGAGCTTCTCTGACCCGGACGCATTGGATGCTGGCATCTGTGGGGTGCGGGCTGGGCCCCAGGAGTGGGGCCTGGGCAGCCCCATGTGTTGAGGAAGGAAGGCAGGGCCCCCACCTCCACAGCTTCAGCCCCCCTCCTGCCTGCCTGAAGCCCAGGACACAAGAGCCCAAGGGTGGAGAGGACTCTTTCCCAGCATCGTCCTCTTCCTGGGTGGCTTCTGGGGGGTGCAGGAAGGCTGCTTGGGCCTGTGGGGGCTGAGATGGGGTCTTGGTACCCCTTTTTAGGCAGCCTTTGGCTCCGTCCACCCTGAGCCCCTCTCAGGCAGTGCTCCTTTGCCCAGCATTCCAGGGTTCGGGGTTGGATCTGAGCCAGGGTTCAGGTTTGGGGTTGGATCTGGGTCCCACGTGCCTTTTGTCTGCAGGGGAGGCTCTGGCCTTTAGTGTGGCCTGGCGGGGTCTGGACAAGCCAAGGCAGCACTGGCCCTCACACTGACTGGTTTGTGTTGGAGTGAGAGCCCTGGCTAGCTTACGCCATGAACACTGCGGTGGCCCTGAGAGGTAAGCTGAGCTGTTGCTGGCTGTGCAACACTCAGACGGAGCTGTAGGCCATGCTACCCGGGCTGGCCCCATCTCCAGCACCCCCAGGCACTGGCCCTGCAGGTGTCAGGTCTGACTGCCCCCGGGCCTTGGGACATTGCTACCCCTGTGTGTTCAAGGAGGTGACCAAGTCAGTCTGGGCTGGGGGTGTGTGGAGCTCAGTCAGCTCCTGCCCCTGCCTGGCGAGTATGGTCATCCCCAGACAGCTTGCTGCTGCCCTCGGACATGCCTTTTGCCTTGGCTCACACCGTCTCACTGGGCTCCCTGCTGCGGTCTTGTTGGTTGCCTTCAGAGATGGGGCTGGGGTCCCCAGGACTCAGGGGATCTTGGCTTCCCTTGGAATCCTGACCTATAGATCTGGGGTCGGAGTTTGTCCAGCAGGAAACCATCCTGTTTGTTTTGCTTTTCTGAGTTCCTGCAACCACAGTGCCAGGGCGCTCTGTGGGGCCAGGCACAAGGGTATAGCCACTACTGCTAGTTTGTGGGTGTCTGAGGGGCTTCCTGGGCAAGGTGGGGTCTCACCAGCTCAGATGGACAATGCTGCCACGCACAAGGGAGTGGTGGTGGTGGTGGGGCATGGAGAATCAACTCCATGAAGACACAGATCCTGCCCTCTGTGATTGTAGTGGAGATTGCAGGTCATGTCCTGGTATCTGGGTTTCCCAGTACCTGGGTGTAGCCAACTTGAAATTTTCTGGGAAACACCAGGCGTGCAGAGGTGAGTGACATCTGGGAAAAACGTGAAGGTTTCAGGTCTCCTGATGCCCCATCCCGCTCCTGCCAATTCTAGACCCTGAGAAGTGACCTTGAGGAGGGAGGTATGCACCAGGATGGCAGATCAGGTGCGTGGAGCCTGGCTTTTGAGACCCTGCAGGTGACAGAAAGACCTGGACTGCCTTCTTTGGACTTTTTTGTTTTGTTTTAAAAAGATGACTGGTAAGGGGATCTTAACCCTTGACTTGGTGTTGTCAGCACCACACTCTCCCAAGTGAGTGAACCAGCCACCCCTATATAGGGATCTGAACCCGTGGCCCTGGTGTTATCAGCACCACAGTCTCCCAAGTGAGCCACAGGCCGGCCCTTGCCTTCTCTGGACTTTGTACATGGCTGAGAAATTTCTTTAAATGTCTGGTAGAAATCACCAGTGAAACCATTGAGGACTGGTGCTTTCTTTTTGGAATTTTATTATTCATTCAACATCCTTAAAAGATAAGTATATTTGAGTTCAAATGATCTATTTCTTCTTGTGTGAATTTTGAAAGTTTGTGTGTTTAAATGAATTGGTCTTTTTCATTGAAGTTACCTAATTTGAGTCAGAATTTTTGTAGTATTTCTTTTCAATCCTTTTAACGGCCATAGGATCAGCAATGGTAACTTATCTTTCATTCACAATATTGGTAATTTATATCTTTATTTTATTCTTGGTTAGCATGTACAGAGTTTTATAAATTTAATTGACCTTTTTAAACAGCCACCTTCTGCTTTCTTTTTTCTCTATGGTTTTACTGTTTCCAATTTCATTGATTTCTGTTTTAATTTTTATTTCATCTGCTTGCTTTATGCTTAAGTTGTTTTCTTTAGGTTTAAAGTAGAAGTTTAGATTTCTGCCTTTCTACGGTATGGCATATAAATTTTATTATATCTAATGCTTTTTTATTTTATAAATTTTATTCTATCTAATGCTTTTACTGAATCCCACAAACTTTCTTATCTTTTTAAAATTTAAAATACTTTTTTCATTTCTTGAGAATTCTTTGACCTTTGTGTTATGTTGATATGTGTTGTCAAATCTCCAAGTATTGGGGGATTTCAGAGCTATCTTTCCATTATTGGTTTCTAGTTTAATTCCATTGTGGTTTTAGAACACACATTGTGGAATTTCTACTCTTTTAAATTAGTTAACTTACATTTTATGGCCAAGAATGTAGTCTATCTTGGTCAACATCCCATGTGACCTTGAGAAGAATGTTTTTCTACTGCACTTGGATATTGTATACAATAAATATCAATGAGGAAATAAAAAAGAAATAAACTTCTATCTTTTTTTTTTTTTTCCTTTTTGTCTTTTTTCGTGTCTGGCAACGTAACACAACCCTCAGTGTCGCGCCGGGTACCAGACCGGGACCGGCAACGGGATCGCAACCCTTGGTGCTGCGCCCGCCCCTCGCTCAGCCAGTGAGCGGGAACCGGTCTGTATGTGGGATCCGAACCCTCGGCGGGAGCGCCGCTGTGCTCACAAGTGGCGCACTGTAGCAGTGCGCCACCGGGCCGGCCCTAAACTTCTATCTTTTAAAAACCACTGTGTTAGAGCACAGCTTTGTAACATCAAGGTCAAGGGTTTGGTTTCCCGTACTGGCCAGCCACCAAAAAATATAATAAAACCACTACGATCTGGGGTTTTCTGGTACACGTAGCAAGCCCATTCCTGTGGCCCAGGGGTGGGTTCCCTTTGACCTGTTGACCTGTGACCTGCTGAGAAGCCTGACTGCCTCCTCTGTTCCCCTGGGCAGTCCTTCCCCTTTAAAGGTGCAAAGGCCCCACCCATGGCAGGGTCTTCCCTAAGTACTGGGTGCAACCCACGGTCCGGGTGTTGTGGCTGAGCCACACTGTCACAGCCTCCTCACTGCCCTCCCCTCCCGGGATGGGCATCTTCCCCATGGGAGCCCCCTGCCAGGCCATGCAGAGCAGCACAGGCGGGAGCTCATCTCTGGATCTCGCTTTAACTGCTGAGCCCTTGGAGGGCTGGGCCTGCCAGATGGTCTAGAGAGCGGTCATGAGGGGGGTGCTGTGAAGCGACTCCTGTGCCAGGGTCGTGGGCCCGTGCCCTCCCGTGGCCTTAGAACTGCCACAGCTGAAGAAAGATCAGTTGGGGGTGGTCCTGGGGCTCCAGCCTCTGAGTCCTCTTGAAGCTGCACGTTACAGATTCTGGAGTCTCAGCATGTGACTCTTGGTTCCAGTACCGGGTTTCCAGTGGCCTCCACTGGGAGGCTGAGTGGACCCTTCCAGCTGTTGCTGGGGTCCCTCCTAACTAGGTCAGCCCTGCAGCCGCCCAAGTTCCATGCTTGTGTGCAGACTTAGGCCCTTCCGCAGACACCCCATCAGCAGGTTCGGTCCTGACTGGACGTGCTTCCTATCCTGGTCCTCACGTGGTGGCCTCAGCTGTGCCTGCATCATCCCCTCCACAGCTGCAGACCATTTTCCTAAAGAGGATTTCTGGATTTAAAGACCTGCTGGCAGCTTCGTCCTGCCCTCAAGAGGGTGGCCAGCCTCCCCCGAAGTCCTGTCGATGCAGTCTGGTTTCACACGTGTGCCTCGAATACGCTGTGACTTCAGTCCTAAATGCCGATCCCAACACCTTTTTTATGGCATCAAAGAAAAAAAATGACAGATTCCTAAACATCTTACATGTGGCCTTAAAAATAAGTCCGAGAAAAACAAAAAACAACAACAACAACAAAAAAACCGAAAAAACGATTTAAAAAAAACCCACCACCAAGTCCAAGGATGCCCTGTGGTGGGGCTGTTGGCCGGATGTGCTCCAGCGGCTTCTGTTTCTCCTCCCCTGCCCCCCAGACCCAACATGAGTGCAGCCACACAGGCCGACATGTGGCAGGGCCACCGCTTAGATCTTTCCTTCTTGGGCAGTGCTTATGCCACAGCGAAACACAAATTTACTTTTTATAACATGGAACTAAATAACGATAGTTTGAAGAATTTTAAAAAGGATGGAAGCTATTGGAAGCTATTCGTGGCTTTCATAAACTTTCAGAGACTGATGAAAACACAAACCTGAAGTTGTCCCAATGGGCCAAAGTGATGAATAAATAAAACTGTGAATTTTGGCCGGCCCGGTGGCGCACTGGAAAGTGCGCCGCTTGGGAAGCGCGGCAGCGCTCCCGTCCAAGGGTTCGGATCCCACATACAGACCGGTTCCCGCTCACTGGCTGAGCGAGGCGCGGGAGCAATGCCGAGGCTTGCGATCCTGTTGCCGGTCCCCGGTCCGGTACGGGGGCAACACTGAGGGTTGCGATCCGTTGCCGGACACGGAAAAAAGACAAAAAGACAAAAAAAAATAAAAAAATAAAATAAATAAATAAAACTGTGAATTCTAAGGATGTAAAATGCAGAGATTTGAATCACAAACTTCTAGAGAACAACAGGAAACAAAAGTGCGTGAATAAAAAGGCTGATGCTGAAGAACTTTCTGGCAAGTGGCTTAACGCCCCCGGGCGACCCTCCACATGCTCCTCATACCCTCTTTTCTTGGTTGTGGGCTAAGGGTCTGTCAGGTGGGCATCTGACTGCTTTTCCATTCTGACTTGGGCCTATTCCTTCACTGCATGGCAGTGGATTCTGTAAGTTTCCTCCCTATCGGGAAAAGCGAGTTCCAGCTTTTGTGTGTCTGGAACTTGTTACGAGAGCCTGTGTTTGGACTGGGGGTGAGTGATGGAACCCCCTGACCCCCCATCTCATGTATGACTCACAGATTGATCATGTCCCCTCAGCCTTTATTTTCTGGACAGAGTCACAATATGTTTAGTGTATCGTCAAGAGGTGGCCATGCAGCCCCTGTAGTGGTCCCTGACTGTCCTGGGCTGGTGGCTTCTTGCAGGTGCAGTGCTGGGAACAAGACTGTGCTCCAAGTCTGGCCACCTTCCCTCCCTGCGCCGGCTGCTCCTAGAAGATTCTAGCAAGACAGTGCTGGGCCCAGGGTCAGCTTGCCTTGGCTTAGCATACGTGCCCCAAGGAGCAGAGCTCCACGGTGCTTCCTGGGCTGCCCGGGAGGCTGAGGTCTCAGCACCTAGTCACAGACGATATCTTCCCTTCATGGACAGTGATTTGCGACTTTTGTGTCTGTCCCAGGCAGCCTGGGGCTCTTGCTACAATTCACCCCTGCTGGTTTCCCACTTCCTCCCCAGGGAAGCTTAGTGTCGTGTAAACTTGGACATGTCACTGGTCCTCTCCCCGCATGAGCACTCAGAGAAATTCAGCCCCCCTGGGTCAGCAGCAGCCCCTTCCTGGGACAGATCTCCACCCCAAGGCCCCATGGCCTGCCCACAGACTGCCAGACTCACTCTTGGTCTGGGACTGGGAGTTTCAGAGAGTCCACCTTTGGAAGTGGATATCTCTGCATGCTGAGGCCACATAAGGGCACCAACACACGGCCATTCTGTGATTACCGCCGTGTTTTCTTTGCCTCCATCATAGAAAAGGTGATTAAAAATAAAGGACAAGAGAAACTCGGAGGAATGGGATGCACCGCTGTTCCTGCACAGCACCTGCGAGGCAGCTCCTCATCGCCCCTCCTCCGTGGCGGGTGGCTGCAGGTGGGCGAAGCTCAGGAAGACCTGCTCCAGTGAGATCTGGCTCACAGAGTAGTCGTCCACTCCGTACTTCTCCTTGGCTTTCTCCAGGATACCAAAAACCTTCAAGAGGCAGAAAAGCCCCTGGTAAGAGAGCCCCAGGTCCAAGTTCTTCAGCTGGCCCTGGGAGTCCTCCTGCAATAAGGGGCTGGCAAGGCCCCCAAGATCCTACCACTGCCCAGTCCTGCCCCAGACCCCAGTAAGAAGTCAGTCCCATGAGGTCAGTCTGTTCCTGCGGGGAGGATGCTTGCTGCAGGGGACCAGTGCGGATGGGGCCTGGCTTCCCACTGGCTCTGTTCCCAGCTCAGAGAATGACCTTGAGCAAGTCATCCCCTTTTTGGGCTGGTTTCCTTTTTTGTACCGAATTGCTTCCAACTCGAATATTTTGGGTATAAAACCCAAAACCTAGCAGATATTAGGATGAGTGTTACAGTAGAAGTAGAAAGTGATTCCTCTTTGGAAAGAGTCTGTACCATAGGAGAGACCCCTGCAGGGACCTTCTCTATCTCCAGCTAGTGCCTGGCGGGCCACATCGCTTACCTTTGCCCAGCTGAGGTCGTGGCCGGGCAGGTGGTAATGGACCATCCCTTGGTGCTCATCTTCCAGGACGCTGCCTGCAGGGAGGGGAGACCATGTTACTGTGGAGGCTGGGCTGGAGGGCCAAGGGAAGGTGTCCTGAGCCCCAGGGGTCAAGGATGTGGGACACGGCAGGGGTAAGGCATAGATACCCTCTGTGCAGCAGCTGGGAGACACTCAGGCAGAGGCCCAGGGCCCACCCAGAGGAAGTGGCCAGGGTCAGCACACACCTGGGAAGGTCAAGTCCACAAATGCCTTGAACTCCTCCAGTGTCTCCTGCTGCCCTTCACTCCGGACCTTGGCCCGCAGGGAGTAGCCGCTGCCAAATTTGCTCTTGAGGTGCTGGGGGCTGCCCAGGCACTTGAACTGACCCTGCACCATGATGGCCAGCCGGGTACACAAGGCCTCACACTCCTCCATGCTGGAGAGAGGGGTGGAGGCTGAGAGAGGGCTGGGGGATGCTGACACCCATCCTGGGTGTCAAAGCCTTGTGCAGACAAGAAGGTGTCAACGCCCAGATCAGGCCATTCCTGATTCCCATGCTCAGACTGTGGTCCATGGGCAGGGCCTGGGGAATCTCCTCGCAGGCTCTGCACTAACTGCTGACAGGTCTTCTGTCCACCCGGCCCCCTCCCAAGCCCACCACTTCCACAGCCCCAGTTCCGGCTCTTCCACAGATCCGCAGAGACCCAGGCTCTACCTGTGAGAGGTGATGACGATGGCCTTGCCAGACTCGCGGGCCCGTGCCACAGTGTCCCAGAGCAGGCGCCGGGCCACAGGGTCCATGCCAGTGGATGGCTCGTCCAGGAAGATGACCGCAGGCTCTCCGATCAGGGCAATGCCAGTGCTCAGCTTCCGCTTGTTACCACCGCTGGGGGTGGGAGGGTGCCAGGTGGGGGGCAAGGCTGATGGTTAGCATGGGTTCCCGGGGTCCCAGCAGATGCTCAGTGATTGCAGAGTGCCCAGGTGAAGAGGAGGCAGGTGACTGTGCCTAGACACCCGCCCCATAAACTTGGAAGCCCCAGAGAAAGCTGTGCCCAAGGGTCGGCCCATGCCCTATGTAGAGCAGGGACAATGCTGGTCTGTACCTACGGGTGGTCTTGTCTCCAGGTGACAGAAACCACCAGGGGAGCCCCTCTCACCTGGTGCTGCCATGGTCATGTTACCCAATCTCCACTTGGTCCTGGAGCCATGTGTGGGAGCTCTGGCTGCTGACCCATGTGGTCGCCCCTAGCTCTATGCTAAGGGAGACCCCAACTCCAGCCTGGGCAGGGCTGTCACAGCAGGCGGGCTAGGTGCGGGTCCCACCTGTACGTCCTGACCAGCTTATTGGCATGTGGCTCCAGGAGCAGGCCCCGCAGTGTGTTCTCCACACAGGCACCGATGTGGCGCTCGGAGATGCCGCGGAGCCGTGCATACATGACCAGCATCTCCCGGCCAGTCATGTGGTCCAGCAGGGCATCAAACTGGGGGCAGTAGCCGATGCGCTGCCGCACCTGAGATTGGAACACAGCCCAGGGAGGGAGCTGGATTACAGGAAGAGCCTCCTCCCTGCAGAGGTCTCTGGACCCTCCCTCCCTGGTCTCTTCCAGTTTGTCTGTCCATGGTAGTTCCATGGAGCTGGTGCACAGGCCCTGGCAGCTGCCTTGTCGTGCTGCTCATGAACGTGTGCTGTGCCCACTGTGATCCAGAGAATGGCCCGTTGCCCCATCCAGGGCACCCCTTCTAGCACACCTGCCTCACTCGCAGTGGGGCCTCCCTGGCTGCACCCACCTTCCCGATGTCAGCGCTGATGCTGTAGCCCCCAACAAAGGCATCCCCAGATGTGATGGTTTCCTCCCCAGTCAGCATTTTGAAAGTTGTGGTTTTCCCGGCTCCGTTGAAACCCAGCAAGCCGAAGCACTCCCCTTTCTGGACTGCCAGGGAGATCTTGTCCACGGCAAGGAAGGGAGCTCGCTGCTCATACACCTGCAAGGCACCGACAGGAAACACTGGAATGAGGAGGCCTGGACACAGACTGGTGCCTTGCAGGTGTATGCTTCCAGGGAGTGCAGGTGGACTCCAGGGACAGCCAGGGGCCAGAAGGGCCTGTGTCATGGTGTTACCTTGGAGAGCTCCTTGATAACGAGAGGGGTGTCGAGCAGGGAGTCCAGGCTGGGAGCCAGGATTCGGTTCCTCTCTTCTGCCACGTCTTGGTCCTCAGGAAGCACTGACGTCCGGTTGTACAATTCTGTCTAATTGTTCAAGACGAAGACCGCACGAGTGAATCCCAGCCCCAGCGGTCCTCTTCCGTGGGAGAAAGAGCAGGGGTGGAGGTGGGTGTGGGAGGTCTCATGGGACTAAGGTCTCCAAGGCTCCTCACCCTGTCCCAGCCCCTTGTTGTGACCCTGACCTTTCACAGGAAGAGGTGAGTGGCCTTAGGGGCTCAAATGAGCATCCTGGAAACACAAAAAACGTGAGGAGCAAGAACTGTGCGAACTCATGTGGAATCACACAACTCCGCTCAGGGACTCAAAAGGAGATTTTAATACACGCAAAGAAATGCCTTTTTAGAGAAGTCTCGATATTTTAAGGACGCCAGTTCACCACGGGTTAATCTGTGTATCCAGTGCAACCTCAACAGGTTTTGTTTGTCTGAGGGAGGGACCCACGTCCCCCACTCCAGGCGCTGGGTGGCCCAGGCAGAGACACTGCTGAGAAGGGCCACAGGCTCCAGCCTGACTCCACGGCACCAGGGTCCCAGGACTCAGGACTCAGACTGCCCTTGTGAGTGGCAAGGGCTGGGACCCCCTTCCTCGGCTGTGAGCACAGACTGTGAGGTTGGACCTTCGCCATGTTGGGAGGCTGAGGCCACATGTGTTGGCTACAAGGACACATGAGCTGCTGGGTGGAGAGGTAGGCCAAGGCTGCCCCTTGTCCCCGGGCCATGCATGGGGAGGAGCCACTCACCAGCTCCCGCCTCCTCTGGAAGGCACAGATGAAGGTCCTCAGTTTCCACAGCAGGTTGGTCTCGATGAGGAAGAGCAGGGTGAGGTAGGCACACCCTGAGGCGGCCATGGAGGCCACGAACCTGCCGACTCCCGGGGCGTGCCACGCGTAGAAGCTCTCCTGGTACTTGATATCTGTGTGGGGCGAGGAAACGCTGCAATGTGGTCTGTGCACCCTTGTCCTCCCGGTTTCCTGGCCTCCTCTCTGCTCCTTAGGCCACATGAGGCGCCTGTGCCCTGGTCCCCTCATGGAGGCCCCACATGCCTCTTCCTGGGGCGTGCCCTTTGTCTTTCAATGCCCTGCGGAAGCCTCAGGACTTCCCAGGCTTCACCGGGATTTTGTCACATGAGGCACCTGTCATGCCTGTGATGCAGGACCAATCCTGCTGCTCTCACTTGCTCACGCATGTGCCTGTCTCCAAGCCAGGACCGTGCTGAGATGTGAAGACAGAATGTCTGCCCGCCCTCGAGGTGCAGCGGCTTAGAGAGGGGACAGCAGGGAACGAGCAATCACAGACCCAGGGCCGGGGCAGTGTCGGGCAGGGCTAGTACTGAGATGGGACCTGCCTGCAGACAGGCCTCTGCTGAGCTGGTGCATTACGGGGACTGCTCCAGGTGAGGAAGTGGGGATGGGGGGTGTGATGGTGGCCCCCAAAAGATAGATTCAAGTCCTAACCCCCTGAACCTGTGAACGTGACCTTGTTTAGAAACGGGGCCTGTGAAGGTAATTAGTTAAGGGTCTTAAGGTGATGTGCCAGATTTAGGGTGGGTCCTGAATCCAGTGACTAGTGTCTCTATAAGGGAAAGACAGAGCAGATTTGAGACAGACACATGGGGAGGTGGCTGTGTGAAGACAGAGGCAGAGACTGGAGTAGATGTGTCACAAGCCCAGAAAAGCCTGGAGCCACCAGGGCCGAAGAGGCAGGAAGGGCCCTCTGCTTGAACCTGCAGAGGGAGCAGGCCCCTGCCCACACCTTGATTTTGCACGTCTGGCTTCCAGAACTGTGAGAATGCATTTCTGTTGTTTAAGCCCCTAGTCTGTGGTTCCTTGTTACAGATGCCCCAGGACACTGGGACAGGTGGGAGGAGCAGAGACCAACTCAGGGTCCAGAGCATATGGCTGGAGTGAGAGGGCTGAGTGGGACAGAGCGGGCGACACAGATGGGCACCAGGCTGCTCAGAACACAGAGGAGTCCCCTGCCGGGGATGCCCCTCGGCAGGCGCTGTCCCGAGGACACTCTGGCTGCCGGGTGGAAGGTGGGACACTCACTGAATTTCCTGCAGTAGTGGGCGGCGACCTCAGAGGAGGTGCAGTACCTCCTTGTCTCGTAGTTCTCATAGAAGCTGCTGACTGCCATTCCCAGGCAGTGGTTGGGCAGCACCAGGAACACGTGGTCCAGGGTTCTGGAAAGTTCTTCCAGTTTTACCGCTATGGTGGGGAGGTACAGACCAGTTAGCACTGGAGGACACACTATAACTGTCTCCTGAGGTCCAGTCAGGGAAGGCAGGTCCTCAGGCATCCCCCACAGATCAGACACTTCCAGGGGCAGGGCCTCTTCTGGGCAGTCCTTCCCAGCTCTGCCAGAACCACACAGGGGAGGGGATGCCCCAAAGCTGGCCGTGGCTGAGGCTGACCGAGCAGGGCCATCTTGGGTGGAGGGGCCAGAGAGTGCAACCTGGGCCCCGTGCCCACATTCTGCCTTTGTGCTCTGTGGGCGGCCGGGGCAGGGGTCTCCATGCTCCCACCTGGGATGCGCATGATGGTAACCATGAGGAAGGTGGCGATGCCCGACAGGATGTTGAAGATGGTCAGCCTGGTGTAGGCAGTGGCCGCCCCCGAGAAGAGGAAGTTCATCAGGTACATGAGTGGGATGATAGCCCAGCCATACAGCAGGAGCAGCAGCAGCGTGTCGGCCGCATGGCCGTCCCGTGTGAAGGCATGCACATCAAAGGCTCTGAACACCACCTGCAGTGGCACAGGTGAGGCTGGCTCAGTGTGCGCCATGGGCAGTGCACCACTCACAGGGCGGGGGAGGGGACCAACAGGAGCAGCTGAAGATCCTTAAACCCTCACCAGCCCCACAGGCCGTGTGCAGCCACCGTGGTGGCTTTCTGCGCTGGGATCCTCTCTGACCAACAGTCTCTCCTTCTCCACTTCACATGGAGCTGCAACTAGGGCATCTGGCTCTGCCTGCCCAAGAGGGGGCAGAGGCGGAAACTGCGAGGGAATTTCCAACCGTCCTTCTGGAGTTGGGGGCTGAGCTGCCAACCTATACTTCCCAGCTGGTTCTGGCTCTGTGCAGCATCCCCCAGGAAAGACCCTGTGGTCTGCAGGGGAAGGATCCCAGCACTGTCCAGCACTCACCAGCAGCAGCAGACTGGGGACGAGAAAGGAGATAAGGTCCCACACCAGAGCAGAGAGCCAGTAAGTAGCCACGTGGACCCCGCTCACAAACTGGACGTGCTTGGCCTGGACGGCCCTCTCACTGACTGCCAGGATGGAGAATGTGCTGGCCAAGAATGCCATGGCAAAGAGTAGGTTGAGAGCGATGTCAAATCCCTTCCGGCCCCTGTGGGGACAGGGCATGTCAGGGCAAGAGCACAGCGTGCCTGGACAGCGGGAAGAAGGGGTCCTTGGTCATTACTGTCCAAAGCATGTAGTGTAGTAGCCAAACTGCTAAAAGGGGTCATGGGAGACCACTAGAGCCATGGGGAGTCTCAGCACCAGAAAAATCCCCATGCCCTCTGAGAATGGCTCCTTCTGTCCTAATTGATGGCAGTGTCCCTCTCCGTCTCCTTCAATGAGTCTTTGAGCCACCCACCCTGCATACACCTAAGACGTTAGCATCACTGATCCCTCTGCCTTTTGCCAGGTCTCCTGTGGAGACCCTCCCCCTCATTCTCTGCACTGCTCCAGCTCAGACCCCTGTTGTCAGCTGGGGCAGGACTGGTGCAGTAGCTAAACTCCCCTCCCAAGTGCATTCTACATTCTATACTGGGTTGCTAGCAACACCTTCCAGAAACGGGCTCTGACAGCATTATTCTGTTGCTTTAAAACCTCCTGTTTCAACAAATGGTACTGGGACAATGAAATATTATTTGGCAAAAAAGAGAAAGGAACGAAGCAATAATGATAGAAGATGGATAAACCTTGGGCCGGCCCGGTGGCACACTGGAGAGTGCGCCGCTTGGGAGCGCGGCGGCGCTCCCACCGAAGGTTCGGATCCCATGTGGAGACCGGTTCCCGCTCACTGGCTGAGTGCGGTGCGGGTGCAACACCGAGGGTTGCGATCCCGTTGCCAGTCAGTAAAAAAGACAAAAAGGAAAAAAAAAAAAAGAAGATGGATAAACCTTGAAAACATCATGCTAAGTGAAAAAAAAGGTCACATGTGATTCCGTTTCTATGAAACATGCAGCACACCAAATCTGTAGAGATGAAGTAGATGAGCAATTGCCAGGGGCTGGGAGATGGGAGAACGGGGAGTGACTACTCATGGGTGTGGGGTTTCTTTTTGGGGGTGATAAGAGTGTTCAACAAAGCTGCATTGTGATGGTCCCACAACTCCGTGAACACACCAACAGCATTCAACTGGATACTATAAATGCATGAATTGTATGGTGAGTGAATGACATCTCCTAAAGCTGTTTAAAATAAAACAAAAAGATCCTTCTGCCTGGTCCACTGTCACCATAACAAGCCTGAACTCCTCAGCCAGCCAGCAGCCCACCAAGCAGGGAGCCCCTTTAGGCCCCGTCCCCACCCTGAAGGTCTCCCAGCACACTGCAGTCACCTCAGGGCCCTGCAGTCGCCCCCACCACTAGTGTTTGTCCTCGTCTGTTCCTGACATATCAGGGAGAACAGAGGACTGCCCCTGCTTCTCTGCTTCTGGGGCAGGGATGGGAGCGAAGAGACGGGGGAGGAAGACGTCACAAGGTCCAGGGCACAGTCGAGAATGGGGACAGAGACAAAAGTATCCTGTACTAACTGAATGCCCTGAGGCAGAGCGGCTGTTCTGAAGTCAGCAGAACTTCTGCTTACTCTGGTGGTGCCTAGAGTTTTGGGGGCTCTGTGACTGGGGTGAAGGACAACCAGCCCTGCCTGCACAATGGCATGAAAAGGTCACCGATGGACAGGGAGTTCTGCAGTCCTCTCCCTGCATCTCCTTGGCTTATGCACACAGCAGGGGAACTGTCCTGGTCATGACTGTACCAGGTCACTCCCTGGGGAGAGTAATGGGGTGAGGACAGGGCTGGCAGAAGCCAGGTGTGGATGTGGGAGGAGAAGGCACAGCCATCCACTGCGTCCTCAGAGGTACTGAGAGGACTGCGTGGGAGTGGATGGGCCCTCCTCAACTGCCAGAGGAAAGGGAGGGAATGGAAGGCTGGCAGCGTGTGGGCTGGGACCCCCTGGTCGAGAACGAGCAGCTTCTAGAGGACAGAAATCATGCTTCACCCTTCTATGGGTCCCTGCAGTACCCAGGCGGTCAGTCCTGGTGGGGGTCCTGCCAGGGCAGGCGGGGCAGGCAGGGTGGGGCACGTACTCGCTGAACTGGTCCTTGGCGGCCTGCAGGGTGCTCCGGGGCTGGGGGTAGTTGGAAACCACGATGGAGGCCTGAGGGCCGCACAGCAGCTTCAATAGGAGGTTGTCCACAATGGCCAGCGCGGTGGCTGCGGAGTGGTAGGCCTGGTTGTTGAACAGGGCAGTGACGACCGTCCGCTCGCCTACATCTCTGAAGGACGTTGCCACGAGGCACCGCTCGTTAAAGCCGCCCCCCTCCACCGAGGCCCTGAAGATGAGGAACTCCTCCAGGTCACCTGGGAAGCAACAGCAGAGTCAGGGGACGCAGGGAGATGGCAAGGGTGTGTGCTGCCTCCGTGTGGCTCATCAGGCTCTCGGTCACAGGTGTGGCCGAGTTGGGACTTGGGGCTGCAGGATTCCCGCCTGGGCAGCAGCACCTACCACAGGGCCAGCACGCTCCAAGCTGCCAGCACAGCCAACTTTTTCCTAACAGGAACCTAATTTTTGCCAAGAGTTTGTCCTCATTCAGTGTCCTGAACCTTAAAGCTGCTGATCAGGAAGTTGGGGGAGCAGTAAAATGCGAAAACCTCCAGCACCATCCCTTTAACCAGAAAATGGTCCCTGTTCCTAGAGACTCAGAGAGTTGTGAGTTTTAAGACATTGGAAGGAAACACCATGTCACACGTGGGCATATTGTGACCAGCCTCGTAAACAGAGAAAAGGTACCATAAAGATGATGAACTTTTGCATTTTAAGAAAGGTCCTGGAAAGCACAGCTTCAGTGCATGAGTGCCTGGCAGTTCAGCCTGGCGACGTGTCTGTGTCTCTGGCCTCCTCAGGCACTTCCTCTGACTCAGTGCTATGATTCTCCACCTGGGCCATGTCTGGAGGCATTTTTGATGGTCATGACAGGGTGGGGACAATGCCAGAGATGCTGCTAACCATCCTCCAGTGCACAGGGCAGCACGGAACCCTCCACCCCAGATGTCCACAGTGCCGCAGTGGACAAGCAGGCTCCAACTGCGCAATGTGGCCCCTGGCCCCCAGGGATGGCCCTTACCCAGCACCTCACGGGGCTCCTGCCCCTCACCCTGCAGCATGTCTTTCAGATGCTCCGACAGCTGCTGGTCCAGCCGAGAGGTCCCAGGGACTGAAAATGGCACGATGGTTCTGCCATACTCGCCCAAGGTCAGCTTCAGGATGGGGTCGTCAAGGATCTCGGAGGAGTAGTTGATGGCCAGGAGGGCCAGGGTGAGGCAGGTCAGAGGGACCAGGACCTGGGCTGCCACCATCTTCCACTCCCGCCAGCTGTACATGGCCTTCTTCAGGAACATGGCCCAGAATTGCTGGCAGTGGAGCGCAAGCTGCAACAGAGGAGATGCAGGCAACGATGACATCACTCAGGAGCCAGCGTCTGACCCCACCCACCAGCAGCAGGCCCTGCCCCCAAGTGGCACCAGCCTGGGGCCTTTGGCTCACATGAGCACAGGCGGCCACACCAGCAGCAATCGGGGCCACTCACAGGGGCTATGGGAGGAGCTCCGTAAATGACACAAGAGCATGTGTGTGCTGTCCCTGCAGGTCCCAATGTGGGCCTGCACATGGGCTCTTGGGGGTCTTGCACAGCTGTGGGGGCAGGGCAGATTCTTTTTTATTGCCGCAGGACATTAGGGACCCACTCCTCACCAGAGACTCCACCACGCCCATGCAGGAGGGCCCTGACCCAGCAAATGCATACCTAGCCAGACAGACCTCCCCACCCCTACCTGGACTAACTGCCCTTACTCTCCAAGACCTTCCCTTCACAGTCTTCTACGTGCTGAGAGTCTTGGGGATATGGGGTAAGGCCGACCAAGGACCAGCCCTAGTTCTGTCATCAGCTGGCCATTCGACTTTGGCCCAGGTCTCAGTTTCCTGTCTGTAAAATGGGAACAGTACTACCCTCTGCCTCATCAAGCTGCTGTAAAGCCTTTTTAGCGCAAGGCTGGGCACAGGGCAAGCTCTTGGTAAGCTGAGCCCTGGTGGTGTGGTGAGGAGACACTCCTTCTTATTCGGAAGTGCCTAAGGTAGGACATAAAGAAATGTCACCTGCTCGATTAAAATGCTCCCCGTTTCTCTTCTCCCTGTCAACCCACAAAGCATGAGCTGTAATCTTCCCTCTGCCTGGTGCACCAACTCTCCCAAAGGCCACCTCTGTCCTCATGGACCATGTCCCCTCCATGTCACCTTCCCAAGTTGGCCAGTGTGTAGCCCCGGCCCATGGAGCTCACCCCAGTGTTCAGCTTGATGGCTGCATGCTCCTCCTCAATGAGGGCACCAATGCCGTCAGTCGGGTCCATCACCCCGCACAGGTTGCTGTCCACGGCCCAGTCACTCGCTCGCCTCTCGTGCTGGTACTGCAGGGCAGGCAGCTGGATAGCTTGGATGTCCATGCTGGTGTCTACCAGCTTACCAACCCTGTGCCAAAACACAACGCACTAGTCACTCCAGCTCCCAGGGTGGGGGAAGTGAAGCTACTGTTCCACTGAGGAGGGGAGGAGAGGCGGAAAGAGGGCTGTCATCAGAGGTAGTGAAGTAGAGCAGCAGCTCAGATTCACTGGCTTGTCCATTCATTCTCTCATTCATTCATTCATCAATAAATATCGCTGGAATACCTTCTGTACGCAGCTGAGCAAGACCCAGGGGGAGAGACAACTGGATAGGGCCCCTACCCATAAGGACCCAATTCTCACAGGGAGGTGGCCCAGGGAGTCAGCATTCAAGAGGGACAGCAGGGGCCTTGTAGTGGATTGAATTATGTCACCCCAAAACTCCCTGAAGCTTGAATTGTGTCCCCAAGTTTTTATGTATTAGAAACTTTGGGCCGGCTCGGTGGCGCACTCGGTAGAGTGCAGCGCTTGGGAGTGCGGCGGCGCTCCTGCCGAGGGTTTGGATCCCATATAGAGACCAGTCCGCTCACTGGTTGAGTGCAGTGCGGGCGCGACACTGAGGGTTGCGATCCCGTTACCAGTCACGAAAAAAGACAAAAAGGAAAAAAAAAAAAAAAAAAGAAAAGAAACTTAGCCCCACTGTAACTGCTAAGAGGGTAGGAAATCCTATTATGGTAATTGAAAGGTGGCGCCTTGAAGAGGTGATTGGATTGTAGGACCATGCAGTAGTGAATGGATTAAAAATGGTGGTCAGGGGCGTGGTTCTGAGGGCTTTAAAAGAAGAGGAGAGTCTGTCTGTCTCTCTCTCTGCTCTCTCTGCTTCCACCATCTAGCAGTGTGAGACCCCTGGGTCACTGTTGCCACCACCAGATGGACTTTGGATTTCCTAGCCTCAGAAACTGCAAGCAAATAAATTTCATTTTCTTTATAAATCACCCAGTTCAGTGTGCTTTGTTATAAGCAACAAAAATAGACTAATACAGGGCTCAAGGTGTGATGGTGGCATTGGGAGGGCTCATCATGCAGCCAGCAACTGGCTATGGGAAGATGTGGGCCAGGGGCACTTGCTGCCAAGGTGAGAGTGGGAGGCAGACAACCATGCTCCAGGAGGGACAGCCCCAGAACAGTCATGACAGGGATGGGTGTGGAGGGAGGGCAGGTGGCAGGGCTCACAGATCCTGTGGCAGGTGCCTGGTGTCGGGCCATGCTGGAGCCGCACTGAAGCCTGTGAGCCACCAGAGATCCCCAGGGTTGGTGCTTTCATGGGCATGATATCCCTGTCATGCCCCGGTTATAAATGCTGCCTTCCTAGTGAGACGGGAAGGTTCTTAGAGGCAGGGGCCCTGTCTGGTTGTCTCTCTGCCCTGGACCTTGCTCGGCTGCACACAGGTGGGGTTCCCTAAATGGTCACTGAGTGGACAAAGGAATGAATGAATGAATGAATGAATGAGGAAGCTAATGAAGCCAATAGAATTCTTCTATTTTAATGCTTCTGACAGTAGCCCTCAAAGAAGAATGGATACTTGTCATGAATGCAGTGACAGAAGATTCAACATAGTTGCCATATAACACACTCTAAGTACATGCCCCAGAGAAATAAGACATGTCCACACAGAAAGTTGTACACAAAATGCTCACAGCAGCATGGTTCATAACAGCCAAAAAAGTGGAGACAAACTACATGTCCCTCAATTAATAAGTGGAAAAACAAAGTGTGGTCTATCCAGATAAGGAACTGCTATTCAGCCATAGAAAGGACTGAAGCACTGACACACGCTACCACACGCGTGAATCTGGAAAACATGATGCTCAGTGAAAGATGCCAGACACAGAAAACTAAGTCTTGTGTGATTCCATTTATACAGAATGTCCACAACAGGCAAATTCATACAGTCAGAAAGTAGACTGGTGGTGGCCAGGAACTGGGGCAGGTGGATGGGAGTGAGCGCTGCTGGGGATGGGTTTTTTTTGCGGGGGGGCGGTGAGGATGAAAATGTTCTGGAATTAACTGTGGTAATGGTTGCAAAACTGAGCGAATATACTAAAAACACTGAATGAATGTACACATTGAGAGGTGGTTTTTTTATGTGATGTAAATTATACCTCAATAAAGCTATTATTTAAAAACACAAACATGGGCCGGCCTGTGGCTCACTTGGAGAGTGCGGTGCTGATAACACCAAGGCCACAGGTTCGGATCTCATATAGGGATGGCCGGTTCGCTCACTGGGTGAGCGTGGTGCTGATAACACCAAGTCAAGGGTTAAGATCCCCTTACCGGTCATCTTTAAAAAACAAAAAAACCCAAAACACAAACACAAACCCCTCTTTCAGCTCCTGCTGATTATGAAACAGAGCTGAGGCTGTGGAGGACCCACCCGCCTGCCTCCCTTTTCCCGTGCGGGACTCACACCCAGAATCCTCCACCATCACCGGACTTTCCCTGTCTTGTTATCTTTCACGACCCAGGCCACAGACTTGGGTCAGAGACATCACACATTGCCATCTCACCAACATTCCCTTCAAATCAAAACTGCCCTGCTCCCATCTAATTTGCCTGGATGGGCTGGTCAGAGCCTCTAACTGCTGTTCTCCTGAGACTAGGAGCTAGGAGAGATCACCGTCAGGTGTGGGGCCTGGAGCTGAGGCACGAGGACAGGGGGCTAGAGGCCAGGTTGGGCCATGTGCTGATTGTGAGAGGGGACAGAGGCCTAAGACCCCAACAAACTCAGAAGGGGAAGGTCCCATGGCTGCTGAGACACAGCAGGAGCAACTCGGGCCTGATCCCCAGGTGCTGCTGATGCCAGGTTGTTCATGCTTCCTTTATTCACTGATGGCCACTCTGTGCTAGGCCTTGTGCTGGACAAGGGTCAGCGAGTGACGCCTCCTCGTGCCCAACTCCTGACCTGGTTTCAGTGGGTCTCTGTTCCTGAGTTGGGGCCTCCTGTCCCTGCTGGCTTCCCTGTGGCCACGCTGGCCTTTCCTGTTGGTCCCCAGATCAAGCACAATGTGGCCCTGCTCTTAAATCACTTGTTCTGTTGCCTCTTCTAGGCCATGGTTTCCTCAAGGAAAAATATCTACCTCACATTTATTTTTATGTCTAGTTCTTAGCACTATAACTGCCAAATTAGCATTCAAGAAATACCTGATAAATGCATGAATCACTTGGAGCCCACCCTGTATTTCTGAGGGTCTGATGCTAAATTTCACACTTTCGTGATGGATGTAGGTTTCCCCCAGGATTACCTAAACCTAAGAAGCACTTGGCCAGCCTCTGCTCTGCCCTGACACCACAGGGTAGATGGTCGGTCCCTCCTGGGGAAGCCCGCACACACTTCTGATGTGCAAGCTGCTGTTTCCCGTGTGTGCAAGGGTTAGTAACAATCATGATCCGAACTCAGGGCTCTGACGGCGGCCACTGCCCTGCCCCCACCCCAGGCTGCACCTCCCCGCTCACAGGGGTGTCGAGATCCTAACCAAGGTGCCTGCCGTATGGCTGTACTTTGGACAGCCCACCCACAGCTCTGAGCCTGAGGCTGATTGAAACCCGCTTTACTGACCGCAGGAAGACTTCCTCCATGGTGGTCACTGAAGCCCCAAAGCTGGCAATGCCCAACTTCTCCTGCTTCTTCTCCAGCTTAGCAAAAAGACTTTCAAACCTGAAAAAAAGACCCACAGCAATCAGTTGCTTCTCAGTGGCTTTCTAGACAATTTGTTCCTAAAGAATCACCTCTGTGTAGAATGGGGGAGGGGGAAAAGAAGGTTAATGCCTTGCAATGCCATTTAAAAAAAAATAAAAGTTAGGTTCATATGGTTTGGCTCCCTGGCCTTTTTTTTAAAAAAATAGGTGTTGAAAACATCCTGCCTCCCGCTGGTAGGAGTGGGAAGAAATGCACAATGTTGATCAAACCGCTGTGTGGCGCATTCGCCCATTACATACACAAACAGTGAAAAAAATCTACTCAAAGCTGCAGCTGTGGAACACAATGGACACTCTCCTATCCTGCTGATGGGAAGTGAGGCTGCTCCTCTTTTCTAGAAGATAATTTGGTAATAATTACTCCACTATTGGAATCTATCCTGAGGGGGGTCATTGGAGATCTGGACAAAGAGTTTTCCAGAAGGATGTTTATTAGCATATTTTGGGGGGAAAAACATGAGTGCATGATAACAAAGCAGATGTTAAGTTATGGTATACCTGAATCATGGAACATTATGCAGCTAAAGAACCACATGACTGAGTTAGACCTGGAGCAAGATTAAATGTGTTTTTAAGACATCCCAAAGCTTCAGAACATGAATGGAGTTTGGCTTTTCCATCCTACATTGGTAGCTCTGCCCTGTGTATAACATGGTGATGGGGCAGGTGCCCACATCTCAAATTCTGAGATCGAGAAGAGATACAAGTTCACAATTTGTATACAAACACAAATTCTTTGTGCCACAAGTAGTTCCAACAGCGGCTTCGTGCATTTAACCTGGTGTTAGGAAGAAGCCACATGCCATGTGTGAACAGCATCCAAGCACGGAACGCCCTTGATGAGTCAGGTATGCATTTCCCCTTCGCAGGTGCAAATTACAGTCCTCCCAGCCCTGTCCAGGAGGCCTGGCATCCCGGACCCAGCTGAGCAGATTCACCATGGGCTGACCACCCACAGGCCCAGGGGCTGAGAGAGGTCCACTGCTATGTACTGAACATGTGCTCCCTCCAAGCTCATGCAGAAGCTTAATCCTCAATGTGGCAGTGTTAAAAGGTGGGGCATCTGGGAGGTGACTGGGCCACGAGGGCACTGCCCTCATGAATGGATGATGGGTTATCATGGGGGTGGCACTAGTGGCTTTATAAGCAGCAGCAGCCCGTTGAGCACACTCTTGCTCAGCCCTCACCATGTGATACCCTGCATTGCCTTGGGACTCTGTAGAGTTCCCACCAAGAAGGCCCTGACCAGAGGCACCCCCTGGACCTTTGACTTCCCAGCCTCCAGAGCTGTAAGAAATAAATTTTGTTTCTTTATAAATTATTCAGCTTCAGTATTGTTATAGGCAACAGAAAACAGACTAATACACCCACTAGACTAATACACCCACTGGCCGAGCCAGAGAGGGCAGGGCAGGTGACTCTGAGCAGGGAGCACTCCTGGTCCACTGGGACCCCTTCCTGTGTCTGTACCTGTGTGTGCTCTCCTTGGGAAGAATAAAGGACAGCTCGGCCCCGGCGCTGCTCTCCTGTGTGGCGTTCGGGATGTGGTGGAGGACAAGCTGCGAGATGCTCTCGGGGTTGCAGTGTGGTTCCTTCACCAGTGTCATGTGGTAGCCCGCACCTGGAACATGTGGCTGAGCATGAGGCCCTCTGGTTGCCCCCCTCCTGCCCACACTGGGGTCTCTGGGCTCACATTGGGCAGACTCTTGGAAAAGAGGCTGGCGAGCCAGGGGGCTGCTGGGCCAGAAGGAAGCATCTCAGAGCTCCTCTGTGCTGTCCTGAGGGTCCTGCCTCCCACTCCCCAGCTGAGAAGAGACACTGGGGGACATGGGTGCCGAGCAGTCAGGAGTGACTGTGCAAAGCCAGAGTCCTCCCCTAACTGGGCAACAACCAGGGCAGGATATGAGCACCTGCAGTAACCCGTGTGTTTGAGAGCATCAACCCTGGTTGTTATTACTGTGATGCTCGCAGGAGCAAGAGCAGGAGGGGAGTGACAATGGCCATGGCGACCATTCTTCACAGCACTTTCAGATACATCTCACCTCCTTCCCAGAGTCACTTGTAGAATTTGGTATTTCCATGTCCACTTTGGAGATAAGGACACTGGGCCCAGAAGGAGCAATGGCTTGGCCTCCTGAGCAGCTATGCAGGAAGTGGCAGGTGAGACTCTCAGAGGCTGGGGAGGAGACTACCCCTTGTCCCCAAGACCTGCTCTCCCCCTTTTTGGGTAATGGAAATCCTGTCTTCACTGGGCATGCGGCCCCAGGATGAAGGCCGTCCTCTCCGGCCTCCCTCCAGCCTGCTGATGACCACTGGGTCACCGTCCAGACAGCGGAGCTGTCTGTGTGCTGCCTTGGGGAAGCCTGCAGAAGAGAGGCATGAACTCCCAAGGGTGTTCCATGGGGAGGGTTCTCTGTGTCTTTGCTTGGTCCCACTGTTGGAAAGGGGGGCAGGCTGACATGCCAACACCAGGTGGACCAGGTGGTGACCTTGACAAGGGAAATCACACACAGCAAAGCCAGGGGGCTGGGTCCTGACCCCATGTCACCACCTGCCAGTGCCGTGCCGAGCTGTGAGCCACTCTCATGTGGGAGCCATGATGTCAGCAAGTGTGCATGGCTTCGCCAAGGGCACTGCTGTCCTCAACAGCCCTGGAACTTGACCACTGTTCTTTTGGTCATGGCTGGACCAAGTCCTACCAAACTGAGACTCTCTGCTCCATCTGCTCCCTTCCTCTTACTTCTCATGATCCCCTCTGCCTAGGGCCTGGGTCTCCATCCAGAGGCAGCAGAACAGAAAGTCTAGAGAAGGCCCTTCTCTGCCTGATCCCAGGACCCTTCATGAAGGTTAACAGTGAGCAGTTCCCCCTAGCACAGGGGCCCAGGGACCCTGACCACAATTGGACGGAGGCTGGAATGCCCACCCTGCCTCCCGCTACTCACCATATTTCTGCTTGAGGAACAGTGACGACCCACAGCACTGCAGCTCGCCCTTGGCCATGATGGCGATGCGGTCTCCCAGCAGGTCAGCCTCATCCATGAAGTGGGTGGTCAGCAGGATAGTGCGGTCCCTCTTCTGCTGCTGAAGAAGGTCCCAGATGGCTCTCCTGGAGATGGCATCCATGCCTGAGGTGGGCTCGTCCAGCATCAACACCTGGAGGGCAGAAGGACAGCGTCATGACAATGGTGGAGCCATGTCCCAGGCCCAGGCTGGCTAAGCCATAGGTCCTTTGGTAGCTCGAGTTCTACAAAGATGCAGCAGTAATGCCCATGTCAGACTTCCCATCCAGGGCATCAAGGGCCGAGGTGCCCGGGCCACGGCTGAAGGGCCAGTGGCCAGCCCAGGCTGAGTGGGAGCCAGACCCTGCTGCTTCTGGGCCCCCTGTGCTTGGGGCCCCCGACCCGTGCTGCCTCAGGAGGCCGGGCCCACTGCCTGTACCTTGGAGCCTGCTATGAGGGCACTGCCGATGGAAAGCTTGCGTTTCATCCCCCCACTCAGGAACCTGCACCAGGAGTTCCGCTTGTCCTCCAGACTGAGGACATGCAGCATCTGCTTGACTTCTTCTGGGCACTTCTGGCGTGATAAGCCTTTCAGCTGAAACAGCAGTGGGCAAGGAGAGATGGGGCGGGAGCCTCGGATGGGGGCTGATCCTGTCGGGACTTCCTGGCCCAAGAGAAGTCTCCCCTTGCCAGTGCTGGTCTCAGAGCCCCGACCTCTGCTCCGCACCTCCCTTCCTCCAGTTTTTGCAGAATAGCTGCTCAGGACGGATCTCGATTTGCAGGGAATTGAAGTGCGCACTTGGACTGCCCCAGAAACCAAGCACGCAGCCAGGGAACCACCACCTACACACCCTTGTCGCTCACAGACTCACCTGAGCATAGAAATAAAGATGTTCAGCGACTGTCAAGTTGTCAAACAGGACGTCGTGCTGGGGGCACAGCCCCAAGCTCTTCCGGATTTGAACCATGTCTTGGGAAATTTCGTATCCACTGATATATGCCCGTCCACTGGTAGGGGGAAAGAGACCTGGGGCCGAGGACCCCCAATTCAGCATGAGCATCTCGCTCATCAGCCCTGGGGGTAATGACCCCCTTGCCTCACTCAGTTTTGCTTTGTTTTACCTTAAGTCCCTGCCTGTGAGAGTGTATGCCAGTGACCCCCATGCCCTACCATGGTAGGCTGCACTGAGCCTGCAGCTGGCCAGTGGGAGACAGAAGAGGGATGGGGATTGGCCCTACTACTAGCATGCACAAGCTCGCCAGGATCACATGCACATGCTCCCATGCATAAGTGTGTGCATGTGCTGTGTAAATCACACTCACGTGCCCCGCCCCAGACCAAGCCTGTGCCGCTGACAGGTGTCTCAGTGCTCAGGGAAGACAAAGTAAAATGTCAGAATTGCATGGGATACACCAGGGACGGCTTTCTAGGACAGTGTGTTTGGGACAAAATCAATATGAGGTGGACCTGCTCCGAGTGGTTTGAGACTCAGCCTTGTTCTTACTGATCCTGCTAAGCGCAGGCATTTGCAGACAGAGGCTGAGAGGAGGGCGAGGGTGACTCAGGGGCCTCCTGCACGTCCCCCTGTGGGACATCTCACTCCTTCATGGCTGGGAAGGACTGAGAGCCACATGAGGGGACAGTCCAGAGCTAGCTGTGGTGTTGAAGGGAGGGCCTGGCAACTGCAGGTGGGCATGAAGCCCCTCACCTGTGAGCATGGAAAGCGTGGTAGTCTTCCCCGCGCCGTTGTGGCCCAGCAGGACAGTGATCTGCCCCTCGTACAGGTTCAGGTTCAGGTCTCTGACAGCGGCCTTGTCCTTATTCCCCACCCTGAACACCTGCAGGGAGGGTGGAGGCCATGCTGGACTCCCGCAGCCCTCAGGCCTCATCCCCCAGGCCCCTCCTATCTCCTGCTGGAACCCAAGAGACCAAGCAAGCTCTGTGTTGCCAATCAGCAGAGCCTGCTTCCCGCTGCTCCCTCCCGCCTGCCTCCACACCAACATGTCCCTGACATCCCCGATGTCTCTGCAGGATTAGAAGGCCTGCAAGGCCAGGCCATCCAGTACAGCCAAGGACAGTATTTATTGAAAAGCTGGCAAGAGGCAAAGCCAGGACAGAATGTTGCTGACCTCCCCCAGTGTCTGCTCCAGGCTGGGTACTGGGGACACTGTCACAGAGCAGCCAAGCAGGAGGGAGCAAGGCCGGAGGATGGCAACTGCCTGGCTGAGGCAAGGTCTCGTGGCAGTGCTGACCAGTCTGACCTTACCGTCCCTGCCCTGCCCCACAAGGAGCTGGCACCTTGGACAGATGCTTGATCTTGATCCCGGCTACCAGACCCTCTGGTTCAGCTTCAAAGTACTCTGTTTGGAGCACCTTCTCGGGGTCATTGTCTTCTTCCTCTTTCCCTACGACCATCCTCGGATGGCCGCACCAGTACGAGGGCTGTGATGGAAGGCAGAATTGCTTCATTTCAGTTCATTTTGTTTGTGATAAACAAAGCAACAGCTAGTTGACACACAATGCGCACAGCAATGTGACCGTGGTCTTAACCCTCCAGGACCAGCTGCCCTGAAGACACTGTTCAAGGCGAGTCTGGGCCAGTTCCTCACTCGTTTTGTCCCTGGGAAAGCTCTAAGCCTCAGTCTCCTAATCTGGCAAATAGGCATAATGATAACTCACAGGCGTGTTGTGAATGTCAACTCAGATATGACAGAGGAAAAGGAGTTTGTCAACTATGAAATTTAATAGAGAGAGAGGTTATTGAATTCTCTAGTTCAGAGTGACGTTGGGGTCAGAAAGAGGAGGAGCCTGAATCTCCACGCCTGACCCTTTCTTTGCTCCAGCTGCACACGGGCCCGTGATGCTGAGGAAGAGAAGCTGAAGGGCCAGGCCTCCCTCTGTGATGAGCAAGGCTCTTCCCTCCTCTCTCCGGCCACCACAGCACACAAACCTCACATGCTGCCCTCGAGAGCAGGACAACAGGGACGGTGAACACGGGGGCCCTTGGAAAATCGCACCAGGCGGGAAGCCCTGTGGCGTAGGGGTTCAGCCCACCGCTCCATTCCCAGGGTATTTCCAGTGCTTGGCATAGTGTCCAGCACACACCATATTCCATTGGTTTTCAGGGACATATTTCTCATGGTTAAAGTGACTTTGAAATCAGAATGTGTCTTACATTACAAAATGCCACGGTTTAACTGTGGCATTTCTCTATCTTAGTAATGGACAAAGTTATGGTTGCCTCTAACAATCGGTGTCATCTTAGATTTGATGAAACACAGTAGTGGGCGCTGAATAAACATTTGTTGAATCAATGAATGAACAAAGAAGTGGCCCTAACTAACCATGGGTGGGAAATTGGCTAAGCATGCTCTGGGGTGTCCCCATGACAGAATATTGTGCGCTCATTATAGATGAGGATGATTTGTAAAAAGGTATATATTTAAATAGAAATACATTTATAAATAAATAAAACAAAATTTATAAACATGTTGGATAAGATCTAAAAACATATTTATAAACAGACACAGGCCTGGCCAGTTAGAGTGCAGCCTGTAACACTAAGGTCATGGGTTCGGATCCCCATACCTGCCAGCTGCCAACCCCCCCCCCCCAAAAGACACACATACACTTGTGTATATATTTGAGATATCTAAGATGTACTGTTAGGTTGAAAAAAAAAAGTTTTAAGCATTTTTTTACAACATGACCCCATTTTTATAAAGCAAATGTAGCTGTGTTATATGCACATCTACGTGTACTGCGTGATAGCAAATGCCCAGGAAACATTGGAAGATGTACACACCCATGCGTCAACAATGTTCAGCCCTGGTGGTGGGATTGTGCTATATATTACAGTAATGTGATCATTTTTACAAGAAACAGTATTATTTTGAAGGCAGAAAATCCAATATGGTATTTTTTATGAGAAAGGAGGCATGGGGTGGTGGTGGGGCAAGCGGGCAGCAGAGGCCATGTGCAGTGGTCCTGCAGGTGGCGGCCAGTGTGAGCCCCTTTACCTTAGCCTCTGGAGTGTGGGGTTTCATTTTGGGGGTGGTGGGTCTTTGTTTGTCTCTGACTCAATCCCAAGAGCCCTCAGGACATGCTGCTCCCTGAACCAGATGCAGGGCAGTGCTGTCTACACCAGCCCCACCCATGCGGGCGTAGCATGTCACAGATGCAGAGGGAGACAACTCCACCACCCACAGAGGTGGCCACCGTGCAGAGCAGGGGCATCAGAGCTCACCATGATGAAGAAGTACCAGGGTTGGGGCACGCCGAACTGCCCTGGGAAGACGGCCTCCATGTACCAGGTCACCAGGCCATAGAGCACAGAGTCCAGCAGCAGCATCCCCAGCACTTGGCCAAAGGAGAAGTCATCATCCACGTTGACAGGGCTCAGCAGATCTCGCCACTGGATGCCTGTGCCTGGAAGACATACCAGGACAGTGGCCTGAAGCTGGACAAGCTGGGAGGGCCCAGGACCCTGAAGCCCCTGATGGCACTTATGAGCACAATCGCCCTGGAATCATCACCGCAAAGGCAGCTTGACCCTTCTCTTCCTGGTTTATAACAAATCTGACAGCTTTCTTCAAGTCTTTAAGACAATAGCAAGTTACAAAATCAGTAGGTTACAGAACCAGCACCAGCTCATCAGCTGACTAGATAATTCATGACATACATACACATGTAACAGTATGTGAGTAGGGTAAGACCAAGGTAGACCAATGTGCATTTAATATGTCTTTTTGAAAAACAAATATTTCAGATATATAAAAAGCCCGATTTAATGGAGCTCATGGTATTTTGTCCTCTCTCTGGTTTGCCAACATCACAGGCTGTACAACGCCTGGGGAGCCGTGTGTGTGGCCGATCCCCTGCTGGCTCTCAGCCCCTCATGGCTGCTCCCCAGCCTTGCTGAATGTTCATTTTCAAACAACTAGAGATTTGTCTGTTTTAAGGAAAATTCACTATAGAACTTTGAGCAAAAGAGAGGTGCCACGCTGAGATTCTTCTTTCTAAATGGCTTGCTTCTTAAAAGTATTTGAGCTCTGGAAGAGACTGCTCATGTACAGTCTTGATTTTATCAACATGCCACTCCATAGAAACACATATGTTTAAAAGCTAAAGTGGCAGAAGACATTGCCAACTGGAGAAACAATTCTACCCAAAGATAAAGCGACATGGAATGTTCCTGTGGCCTGCTCCTTCCACAGGCCCCTATCTTCGGAAGCTACAACAATTGGAATGGTATGTGTCCCCCAAAATTCATGTGGTGAGAACTCAATCACCAATGCAACAGCACTGGAGAGTGGCACCTAATGCAGGAGGGAGCTCTCTTCTGCTTTTCTGCCATGTGCAGAACAGCATCCCTGCTCAAGGCACCATCCTGGAAGCGGAGACTGGGCTCTCCTGACACCAAACCTGCCAGTGCCTCGATCTTAGACTTTCCAGCCTCCAGAACTGTCAGAAACACATTTCTGTTCTTTATAAATTACCAGCCTCAGGTACTGTGTTATAGCAGCACAAGCAGACTGAGATGCATGGCTGGAAGAAACAAGTACATTCTACCTAGAAGAGAGAACACCCGCGTGGGGAGGGCTGAGTACAGGTCAGTCATCAGGAGTGGGTTATACTTCATCTCCTGCTGGGAGCACCAGAACAACACACAGAAGACCCAGTGCTGAGTGCCCACCACAAGGGCCAGATACACCACTTCCAGCCTCCCTTCCTGCCCCACTGAGAACCAAAGTAAGGGGGAGAGGCGGGGCTGTCCCGACCTGCATCCATTCCAACAGCTCATCTTTGAGGGGGTCAGAGCACCCAGAGATGAAACAGGGCCTGTGCTGAGAGGGAGGCTCCATCTCGGGAGGCTTCCCCACAAGTAAGAGGTCAAGCCAGGCACCTGCTGCCATCTCTTTAAAGATGAAGGCTTGCCTGATCACTGGAGTCTGAGGGTCTGCTGCAGGGAGCCCAGAGGCCAAAGTCAGCACCAAGAAGGGTTTTATTTATCCTCACAATATTATAAAAAATTATGAAATTTCACAAAAACCAAGAAAAACATTTCCTGATTTATCCTTTGTTTCCCTCTCAGGCCTCCCTGCGGGAGGTACTGGGGGAATAGCAGGAGGGGGAGACACTAACTCTACCCTCTACCAGGGGCTGGGGGTGATTGAACGTCCTCAAGCCTGTGGACGTGGAGATCTCTGGTGTGATCATTCTGATGTCTCAAGACGCGGGGAGAGACTTGGAAGTCACTGAGCTAAGCCCCATCCCTGGACACTCACAGGTACAGTGATCACTGCTGCTGCATGTTCTAACCCTCTGTACTGGGAGCTTCTGGTGTCTTTGGTCCTTTCCCCTAAAGGCTCCCTCCAGCCCCTGGGTCTGCCCTAGACACAAGCCTCCCCATTGTCTGGGGCACCTAGTGTGCCTGTCTGCTGATGATCCACCGCTTGGGTGTCCCAATTTGCTGGTGTGCCACTAAGTGAGCGTCTAACTGCAGGAGGCACTGCCCTGGACCTCCCTACTGTGAGAGGGAAAACACTCACCTTTGGCTTCAAATTTTCCTATGAGCTGGGCTCCCATCGCCATGGCAACATTGGACAAGAGACAGGAGAAGAGCTTCTGGCTCAGGGTCATCCAGTTGTACCGAGGAGCCACAAAGAAGTACGGGATATAGGTGAAGAAGTAGAGGAAGCCACCGATGGCTGCCGCCATGTTGGCTGCAGGTGAGAAAGGGGACATGGGGGTGCTGGGGACACGTGGGGCACTTGTGCTCAGAAGGGGCCCACTCCCTGCGGTGGAAAGAAAACCGTCCTGTCACCAGGTGCCCTACCCACTCCAAGTCCCAGTGCTGGGGAACTCCAGCTTGGCACGCAGCCTCTCCTCTTCTTGCTTTGCAGGTGCCCTGGGGTTGGCATCTACCTGGGGCAGCATGTACTATCCCCATGCCAGGGACCCCACCCAGGTATCTCCAGGCCCCTCCTCCAGGCCCCCCATCCACTGCCTCCCTGGCATCACACACCTGGTGTGACAACACCAAACCCGATTCCCGCCCTGAGCCCACTTCTTTTCTGGTCTGTCCATTCTTTCTTATTTCTTCATTCATTCCTGCATTCATCAGGTTCTCACTGAGCACCTACTCTGTGCCATGCACTGTTCCAGGCACTAGGGAGGCTGCTGCCTAGTGAGGCCACTCTAGGGCCTGGAAACTAGTGGGGAGACAGATGAGGTAAATGAGTAAGGAAGCAAAGCACAGAGTGCTCTCAATGGCACAGAACTGGAAAGATGCTCCAGGCAGCCAAGGGATGCTTTGAGGAGAAGGTGACATGAGAGAAAGACCCAAAAGAGGCAAGTGACCAGGTCATGGAGGTGTAGGGGGGACAGTATGGTTTCAGTCCATGTTGGTGGCAGCACTCAAACTCTTTGGTCTTTTTTTTTTTTTTTTTCCTTTTCCTTTTTGTCTTTTTTCGTGTCCGGCAACGGATCGCAACCCTCAGTGTCATGCCCGTACCGGACCAGGACCAGCAACGGGATTGCAACCCTCGGTGTTGCTCCCACACCTCGCTCAGCCAGTGAGCGGGAACCGGTCTGTATGTGGGATCCGAACCCTCAGCGGGAGTGCCACCACGCTCCCAAGCAGCGCACTGTAGCAGTGCGCCACCGGGCCGGCCCTAAACATTGACACATTTTATTATACAATATCAAAAAAATCACATTTGCTAATAGTATCACAAGTCTCATAAAAAACTCTAAGTATTGGGAAGCTGTCAAGCTTCTGGTGGTAGATTTGAGTCTATAAAATTATATTTTTTGCTTAAAAACTTGAATTTTATTATGGACATCAGAAACTACCAGTTGCTTTCCTTTAAAAGACAAGCTCCCATTTGAGAAAATGCCTACCAGATACCCAGGTGTGAATAACTAATAGTCTGATGCTCATTTTTTCAACACCAAAAATGGTGTTCCATGAAAAAGTGGCCAGTTTAGCTGGCAACTCAAACAACTCTACATGTGCTGTTATGCATACATCCTATTTTGTCACATAGAATACTAACAAAATGTATATTTAAGAGTCAAGATTTAATAAACTTAATCACTTCTACTGCTTCATCAAGGACATTCTTGAGTGAAGTGGCATTTTTGCTTGTTTGCTGTGTGTGTGGTGGTGATGAGCACATGACAACCAGCACAATCTGGTGCCTCTATTTGTGCTCAGTGCCCTGTGGTTCTACCCACCATTGCTCTTGCACCATTACTGCAAAGGTCAACATGGAAGGAAAGACAAACAACATCTTGATATTTCATCATTATGAAATAGTTCTGACTTTATGAACTCCCAAATGGGTTTCTTGAGGATCCTTGGGATTCTGCAGACAGCACTTTGAGAACCTCTGACGTAGGCAGAGGCAAAAGGCCTGAGCAGGGAGCAAGACAGGGATGGCATGGATGGGAGGAGAGCAGCAGATGACAGAGTGCTCATGGTCTGCACTGGGGAGGACCTTGCCAACCACAGCAGGGGCTTCAGGTTTTCCTCTGTGTGAGACAGGCATGGGAGGGTTTTGAGCAGGAGTGTGACAAGCTCTGACTTACATTTTAAGAGGATCACAATACTGGCTACATTGAGAAGTAACGGAGGTCAAGAGCGGAAGCAAGGGGACTGGGTATGAGGCTGTCACCGCCATCATAACCCAGTCAAGCAAGGATGGCGGCTGAGGCCAAGGTAGGGCAGTGGAGGAGGAAAGAAGAGAGTGGAGGCAGAGCAGACAGGACTGGCTGATGGACTGAATGTAGGGTGGGGTGTAAGAGAAGAGAGGAGTCCAGGATGACCTGAAGGCTGCTGGACTGAGGAACAAGAAGGAGGGAGTTCCCGCTTAGAGAGATGGAGGGATGAGCTTTTGAGGATAAGATCAGGAGTTCACTTTTGGATGCATTCTGACTGAGATGCATGTTAAGCACCTAAGGTATACTGCTGGGTATGAGTCTGAACTTCAGGAGAGAAGCCTAAGCTGGAGAACTAAATTTGGGGATTATCAGTATGTTCAAAGATGTCCAGGGGAGTCAGTGTGAGTAGAAAAGAGAAAGACTTCAAAACAAGAATGCCATGGACTTCGAGGCATAAATGAAGAAACGTTTCCATTAAAAAAAGAAAGATATTTTTCCCCACAAAAATGGACAAAAAAACAAGAACAAGTGGAAAAGTATAAGAAACAACTGGATAGTTCATGAAAGATAAGTATAGTCATTGAATAAAATCTCAATAGATGTGATACGTTCTAGAACATGCATAGTCAAAGAGAGAATTTGGGAATCAGAAGACAACTCTGAAGAATTTATGCCGAATTCAGAATGAAGAAATTTATTAAAGTATAGAAAAGAAGTTAAGAGACACGAAGAACAGACTGAGCAATACCCATTAGGATAGCAACTATAAAAAGCAAACACTCAGAAAGTAACAAGTGTTGGTGAGGAGGTGGAGAAAATGGGACCCTCATGCACTGCTGGTGGGAATGTAGAATGGTGCAGACACTGTGGGAAAGTCTGACGGTTCCTCAGAAAGTTAAATGTAGAGTCACCACATGATGTAGCAATTCCACTTCTGGTATATACCCAAAGAATTAAGAGTAGGGACTTGAACAGATATTTACACACCCATGCTCATAGCAGCATTATTTACAATAGCTAAAACGTGGAAGTAACCCACGTGTCCATCAATGGGTAAACAGGTAAGCAAAATATTGTCTATCCATATAATGGAATATCATTCAGCCTTAAAGAGGAATGGGATTCTGACACATGGTGCAACAAGGACAACCCTTGAAGACATTATGCTAAGTGAAATAAGCCAGTCACCAAAGGACAAATACTGTTTGATTCCATTTATGCTTGTATGAGGTACCTAGAGTAGTCAAATTCATAGGGACAGAAAGTAGAATAGTGGTTTGTAGAGACTGCGGGAGGGGGAATTAGTATTTAATGTGGACAGAGTCTTAGTCGGGAAACATAAAAAAGTCCTGGAGAAGGACAGTGGTGATAGTTGCACAACAGGGTGAATGTGCTTAATGCCCCTAAACTGTACACACAAAAAAGAAGTAAGACATGAAGGACAGACCGAGAGGCTCCAAGAAAGGTCTAATGGAAGAGAATAATAGGAGGCTGGCCGGTGAGCTCTCTTGGTAGACTGTGGAGCTGATAATACCAAGGTCAGGGGTTTGGATCCCTGTATTAGCTAGCCACCGAAAAAAAAAGCATTAGAAGAAAATAACAGGAAAAATGGAAACAAAAATCTGATGGACTACTAACTGAAATTGTGTTGAAATACTAACCGAAACAACACGTGAGTCCTCATATAAAACATTCATAAATAAAGGAAAATCATACCTGGACTCTCAGGAGACTTCCTACCAACAGCAATGGGTATCAGATGGCAACTGCGTTATCGAAGTGGCAAGGGAAAATATCTATCCATGGAGAATTGTACACATAGCTAAAAGATTATTCAAGAGTGAGGGTGAAATAAAAAGACATCTTTGCCTATACAAAGTAAAAAGGAATTAACCACTCACCAATCCCCATTAAAAGGACTATTCAAGGATGTACTTCAGCATAAAGAAAAGTGAATCCAAAGGAGTACAGAGCACGCAAAAACAGTGTGCACATAAAATATGCTGGTAAAGTATATAAATGTAAAACAGCAGCTAATGGCTTCTGCTCTTAAAGCAATAAAACAAACTAGACGACAATAAAACATTTGGGAGCTCAGAATGAGTACTTAGAGTGTGGTACGGTTTGAGTCATAGCTGAGGAGGCTAGATATGCTGAATAATTTAACTTTTTAGAAAATTTTAAAGGCAAGTATTTAAGTTAAACATTAAGGGTAATCAGTGAAGGAAAAGAAATAGAATTTATATCTTCCAAACCCTGGTGGTAAGGGAACTAGAGGAAACTTTAACAGTCCAACAGAAGGCAGAAAAGGAGAAAAAGAAAAGAAGCAAAGGAAAACCATACTAAACAGAGCACATGAGAATGAGGCAGCAGGAACAGCCCCAAATTTAACAGTCACCACGCGGCTAGGGGAGGATGGGCTCACGCGCTCTGGTCTGCGGCTCACCTTTCCTTCGGCTGCTCTGTGGAATCCCGCATGGCCATCCACGCGCTGGCCTTCTCGACCTCTCCTTCCCCTTCAATTCCCCTGACTCTTCCCCTCCCTGTACAACTCCACATGCTCCTCCTCTCTACTCTTTCCAGCTCTATCACTGACCTGTGCTCCGAACCTCTAGGCCTCGTCCTCAGCGGTCTCACCTGTGTGTGACTAGCCCTGGCCTCTTGTGTCTCTCTCTTCTGATAGCTTAGCCTCTGGGTTATTTTTTTTTTTTTTTTTGTCTTTTTTGTGACTGGTAAGGGGATCGCAACCCCTTGGCTTGGTGTCGCCCGCACTGCGCTCAGCCAGTGAGCACACCGGCCATTCCTATATAGGATCCGAACCCGCGGTGGGAGTGTCGCTGTGCTCCCAGCGCCGCACTCTCCTGAGTGTGCCACGGGGCCGGCCCTGGGTTATTTCTACATAGCTGCTCATTTGGACTCTTAATCACACACATCCTAAATGACACAGTCCTGTCTTCTGAGACTTGGATTGTCCCCATGGCCCTCTGGTTTCAGGAGAGCAAAGCGACTCACCTTTACTGAAGAAGGTGCTGACCATGAAGCTGAAGGAGATGGAGGAGACAGCAAAGCATAGCAAGAAGGCCAGCACCAGAGAGGGGTCGCTGCTTGACAGCACGGCCACGTCCTTCTTCACCTGCAGGACACATGGTTGTGGGCATTAGTGTGGCGGGGTGGGGCAGGGAGGGCAGAGACAGGCCAGAAGGACAGAGAGCAGGGACATTCCCGGTCCCCAGAGACACTGCCAAGGTGGGAGAGGGGCCTCCACCTCAGAAAGGGCACAGATCAGCAGTTCCCACTCACCAGGAGGGAAGACCTCCTCTGCATCAGTGGCTGGAAGACTTTCTTTCCTAAGAGCAAACCCCAATCATGGGTCTTGGGGTCCCTGCGGGGGCACTGAGGCTGCCTCTGCCTCCCCATCAGTTTCTCATCGGAGTCCCCTACCCCTCCCCAAGCCATGCTCACCTTGACGCAGAACAGCAGGGTCATGAAGGAGACCACGATGAGGAGGAAGAGGAAGAACATGAGGAACCAGGCGCCCCAGTGCAGCCAGCTGCTGAGCCCCATCATGCGCATGTACTCCTGGGGACAGGGGGAGAGTGTCACACTGGTGCCATCCTCATGGTGGCCTTTCCTTAGGGCCTTCACCTGTGGACATGCGGTGTCTGTACATGGACCAAGAGGGAGGACAGTGGATACCGTGCCGTAGGCAGATGTGGGGATGAGCATCACGTGTTGGGCTGGGGGCAGAAGGCCTGGGCCACCTGGCCACTCCACCCCACATCCAACAGCTGGTAGCCTTGTGGTGTCAGGACTCTCATCCTCTCCTGCTTCCCCAGACTACATGTTACCCCATCTGGGAAGCCGTCCTCATCCCCAACCAGGATTAACCAGAATTAACTGCCCCTTTCCCCTGATGCCACAGTGTCTACAGCTGCACTGTCTAGTATAGCAGCCCGTGGCCATGTGTGGCTACTTCAATTTCAATTAATGAAGATTAAATAAAATAAAAAATTCAGCTCCTCATTTCAAGTACACAGTGGTGACTACAATGGACAGCAGACACAGGACACATCTGTCATTGCAGACAGGGGGAAGGGGACCAGGACTGATCAAGTGCCTCTTCCACACCATGCACGAAGCTAGGCTTTGATTTTCCAATTCGTTCTTATACATGTCTCAAACCTCTAGAAAAATGGGAAAGTGAGTTCAAGGGTCTCTCATACACCCACCATCTAGAGTCAATAATCGTGTGACATTTTGCCCTCTTCGTTTGGTCTCTGTGTGTGCACACAGGTGTCTTCCTCAGCACCATGTCATAGTGGGCTGCTAACTACCTCATAACGGTGGACTGTACCGTTTTATTAAAGGTACTTAAGGCACCCACACAAATCATGATCCTCTTCATCGGCTCCCCCAGCCTCTTGTTTGCAGCAGTTCAAATACTCCAGTAATCACAGATTTGGTACTACTCAGAATATTCTAAATGTTATTTTACAGGCACTGAGGACATTTTCAGAGGAGGAACTTCAAATAAGTTTTGGGTAATGGCAGTGTCACTGGTATGAGTTTATAGGTAACACGATTCATTCATCCATACTTAATTCAGTCAGTTACATGACTTCATAGTGACACTTCATATACTTCTCAATTTCCCATTACATTATGCCTAACAGTCCATAACTACAGCTGTCCTTGATCTATATGCAATGTTAATGATCTTCCTGTTCATCTACTACTTAAACATTCATACATTTTATTTCACTGTTGATCTAATCTCTAGAGTGGCTGTCCAACAGAAATAGAACGTGAGCCACAGATACAACTTCAGGTTTTATAGCAGCCACGTCAAAAATGTTAAAAGAGACAAGTAAAACTAATTTCAATGATATTTAACCCAATATGTCCAAAATATTGTCTTTTCAACATACAATCAATATGAAAATTACTAACAAGATGGTTTACATTATTTTTTTTTTATACTAAGTCTTTGAAACCGGCATGCTGATGTTTTACACTTTTGGCACATATCAATTGGGTCTGGGCACGCTGCAAGAGCTCCAAGCCTTCTGTGGCTGGCTAAATGTGGACAGTGCAGCTCTGGGGCCATCTCAGTCCTTTGTGTGCTACACACAAAATATGGTGCTTTATCAGAGTTTTAAAAATCCACATATACCAGCCTGATTTCAAAGAAGCCCTGAGATGGGCTAGGGCCATGGTGGGCATCCACCCCACATCCCCTGCTCTTGTGGCTCCAGCACACAGGAGCAGCCCTGCCTGACAAAGGGGCAGCCTTGACGACTGGGCAGCCTCAATGACCGGGCAGCCTCAAAACGATGCCAATGCTTCCCTCGGACACAACTGCCTCAGGGCAGCACCATTCCTAGAATTGGCTTGCCAAAATGTTTTGAAGCCAAATGCAAATAGGGTTACCTTCAGTTTTCTCTCCTTCTCCTGCACCACGGTCCGGATGATGGTGAGTGAGGTGTAGGTGAAGCTCAGCATGAGCAGCAGGGGCAGCTGGTACTGGATGGCCATGAGGAAGGGGTCCGAGATGAAAGGTGGGTACGGGAACCTCTTTGCTATCACCGTGAGCTTCTGGAACAGCTGGCGTGCCGAGGCGTTGGCATGGTAGTGCATGATAGCTCTGTCCACAGCGTGCTGCACAGCCAGGAAGCCCTCCCGGATGTACCCTGAGTGCGGAAGCAGAGTGCGGCCCTGCTCGTGTCAGGAAGCCATGTCATGCTCCAAAAGCTGCATGCTCTGCACTGCACCAGGGTATCCCTGGGGTCCACAGAGGAGGGGCACATGACGGAACAGGGCAACTTCACCTACTGCCCCCCTCTGCGGCCACCTGGACCATCCAGTGGTCCCACAGGAGGAGGGAGGAGACTACTAAACACAGAGAGCTAACGGGAAGAGTGGGGCTCTTCTCGCGTCCAGTTTGTCATTCTCAAGAACGCACAAAAAAATCACATACATAATCATGTTTTAAAAACTCCTTGACATAAACTTGGCTGAAAAGACCCTGTATGCCCCAGATGGGTTTGGTGGGATTCTAAACAAGTAAAGAAGTTAAGCCGAAAATACACGAGAAAAGTATGCCAAAGAGTTAGGTTGGGGAAGCAGGGACGACAGAAAAGGCTTGAAGAGTAAGAGAGCATTTCCCCAGAGCTGGTGAGAGGGGCTGGATCCTCAGCGTCACCCCAGCAGTCTGGGAGCTGAGAGAAAGGACTGGATGGCCCAAGTGCCCGACTGTGACTTCAGGCAGGAGGCAGCTGAGTCCACAAAGAGGCTGATGCGCTTTGCCAAAGGTAGAGACTGAAGGAGAGAAGGGTTCAGTAACTGTATGAGTTTCCTGTTTCTGCTATAACAAATTACCACAAATTAGTGGCTTAAAACAACAGAAACTTCTTATCTAACAGTTCTGGAGGCTAGGAGTCTGGTACAAGCCTCACTGAGCTAAAACCAAGGTGTCAGCAGGGCTGCTGGGGGTTAGGGAAGAATCTTTCCCTTAACTTTTCCAGTTTGTGGAGGCCTCCTGCATTCCTTGGCTCATGGACCCTCCTCCACATTGAAAGCCAGCCATGTAGCATCTCTGGGATCCTGCTTCCATCACTACATCTTTCTCCGACCCTCTCTTCTGCCTCTTTTTTGTGCTTTTAAGGACACTTGTGATTACATTGGGCTCCCAGGGATAATTGACAATAATCTTGGTATTTTAAGGATGGCTGATTAGCAACCTTAATTCCCCTCTGCCAGGTAATCTGGCATAGTCACGAGTTCCCGGGATTAGGACAGGGACAACTTTGGGGGGGTCATTATTGTGCCAGCCACAGCGACTCTACACTCAAGTTATCATGGCCTGGAGGCCATCACTGTCAGAGACTCATGTGCTGCGTAATTTCTCTGTCCTGGCTCTTTTTGACTCCCCAAAATGGTCTGTAATAAAATTCTCAGAGACAAGGGCCTGGGGGAGTGATAAGCAGAGGACAGTGCTCCAACAAGGCCTGGGAGAAGACAGAGGCCAAAGCAGGAGTAGACTTAGCATCTGGAGAGAAAAAGGCAGCCTGAGGCCCCGAGGCCTGACCCTCAGGGACAGGGAGAGGACATGGGCTGCAGGGGTGGGGGTGTGTGGGTGCCCTCATTTACAAAACAGACTGATGTTCAGAGCATCTAATGTCTTCTAACACAGAACTCTCAGCTGCCTAGGTTCCAGCCTCCAGATGAAAGAGAAGCAATATGCCAGCTACACACTTAATGTGGGGGTTGTGTGTATGTTTCTACCTTCTCCCTCAGGTTAAATCTTCTTATGGTTGCAAAAGTAGTAAGTGCTCAATTAATGTTGCCTGTTGTGTGCCCAGGACAGTGCTGCATGGGGGTTTAATTCTTGTCTTCACAATGAACCTGCAGAGCAGCTAATATCCCCATTGGACAGATGGGGACACTGAGGCCCTGGGAGTTGAGCCATGTAACTGGGCTTAGGACCCTGGTGGTTTTGGCTTCAGAGTCGGTATCTTTTCACAACATCATGCTGCTTCCCCCACAAACTCCTGCCTGCAATTTGCTCAAGTGGTGTTTCGCTTGGAGACTCCACCACGCTGCTATGTGGTCTTCATCATCATAGCTTTGTGGCTGCTCAATATTCCCAGGCATGCAGCCATCGCCTTATAATCAATCATCTTCCCGATGCTGAAATTTTTATGACCATAAAGCTATGGTGAACATCTTTGTGCATGAGGATTTTCTCCTTCTTTCTAACTCATCAGGGGCATTTGAAGGTCTCAGGTGTGGACATCTGGGGCAGCTGGGGTGGCACAGGGCCAGAATTTGCTGGGTGCCTGCTCTGTGCCAGCGTCACGCCTTTCTACCTCTCTCCTGGGGTTCTCATGCCTTTCTAACTGACTTGTACGCTTCCTTTTTTTTATAACAAAAGACATTGGCCCCATGTCATTTGCCACATATGTTTTCCCTGGTCTCCTATTAACTTTTAAAATTGGTCATAGGCCTTTTTCTTTTTTGGCAAATTTTAAGTTTGCCCATACCAAAATCTGTCAGTTTTTTCCTTTCAGATTTTTTATGGCTTTCAAGCTTAGGACATTGTCCCCAACACACAGGAGGGAGCTGAGGAGCTACCGCCCAGGTCCCAGGTCTCAGCAGCCAGTGTCTCTGGCTACAGGCCACAGGCAGCCTGTGGGACCACCAAATGCACTTTCTCTTGAGCCCGGGGTTGGTGAGCTGTCTAGGGCCTCATTCTGGGGCTTCTCACACCCCACACCTCACCTTGCTCATCTCAGTTCCTCTTTCAGGGTTAAAATCTTGCCCTCGAGCATGGTGATGGCCCCGGCCCTGGCAATCACCATCTCTACACTCCAGTTGCATGCATGGTATGTCCTGCCTGCCTGGTGCTTATAGTCTCAGAGTCATGCTCCATAGAGGGACATGCCTGCATCTTCCAAAGAACCTCTAATGAGCTCTGTCTCCTGCCAGACTTATGGAATACTGTATTCTTCAGAACATTCTGGACTTCAGCCCAGAGCCTGCAGTTGGGTCTTGGTCTGAGAGCTAAGTCAAGTCCTGGGTCTCAGTCACTTCTTGGCCATCCCTAGCTTGGTTCCAAGATGTGCACACGCTTCAGAGAGGCCGACACATCAGCTGCCTGCCAAAGTCACATGGCACGGACCAAGCCATGCACAGACAGAGTATCAGAGTAACCAAGACCCAACTTCTATGACAGTTACGCTGGTTCATTTAAACCATGGATCAATTACACAAGGACTATAGAGCTTTAAAAGCCTGGAAAACTGTAGAAGGCCACACAGACGGGAAACGAAATCAAACCCAAAAGATTCTTAAAAACTGAAACTTCTTAAAAACTGAAAATATAAATGTTTCATTCACGAACATGTATCTTCTGGGATACAGGAAGACAGACACTGCTATTTCTAAAGATAATTTTAGCTTTTCAGAAGCCAGTTTTATTGAATGTTTTCTTTTCCTACAAACAAGAAGACTAAATGTTCCTTAAAATACTAAAAGTATTTCTGCAGAGAAATGCAAAGTGGGTTTCCACCCATGTAATTGTCACTAGTTAGCTGCCCTGGACTGGTGACACAGCCCCTAAGAGTGCTTCTCACCAGGTTCTCCACCATCAGGGGATGTCGGTTCCCTTGGTCCTGGGTTTGGGAAAAGTGGAAAAAGGGAGGCGGTGTGCCAGCCCTCTGTCTCTTTCAGAAACAAGGAGCCTGTTTGGGTCCACATGTAATTTCTTCGTGTGTAACTGAACCGTAGGTGATATTTCACCTGCAGAAACAGAGAAAACCAGCTGTTCTGAGGGAGCCGGAGAGAGAAGCCAGCCCCTGAGTCAGATGAGAGCGAGGTGGGGGACTCTCATCACCATGTTTCCATGTGAACTCACCGCTCCCACCCCTGGAATCAGGCAAGGGGCCTCGGAACGTCAGAGTGAGCGGCCTTGCCCCACTGGGAGCAGGGAGCCCCACAGGGGAACTTAGGGCTGTTCTCAGCCACTCGCCTCTTGCTACCTGCCAGCATGAATTCCAGGTGTGATGTGACAATGCCACTTGGGATCAGAGATGGGCCACCCGCACAACACTAGATGGACTGGAAGGTCTTCTAGTCTGAATGCCATCAAAGCAAAAAACTCTTTTTTCTTTTTTGCTAGATCGTATTTCATCTGCTACTTTCCTCTCTATCCTATATGACTCCATCCAAAGAGGCCAGGAGACCAGTAAGGCCTTTATTATAAAGTGAGAGAACGCAAAGGGACCTGAAGTGACTGTCTACAGGCAAGCACATTTTCTAAACTGTTCTGACCAAGGTTAAAATGTCACCAGGGCTCCCTTTGGTGGGGACCAAGATGGTGATATTGGACACCAGGGAGAGTCTAATATTTGCTACTAGGCAGGCAGAGGTCTAAGGAAAAGCAGCCGCTTTTACAGGCTGCAACAGGGAGCTGTGGCTTGGCCGAGGTTGCTGTGACCGCACCACAAGCTGAGTCTCACCGCCAGGGGCAGAGGGTCCTTGCTGTGGTTGAAGGTGTGCTCAAACACCACTGCGGCCAGCACACTGGAGGACTGGTTGTCATACCTAATGTAGTCCTCAAAGTCATTCTCGGAGGTAAAGCCGCGCACTGTGGAGAGAGAGCATCCAGCGTGAGCTGGCCCATCGTCCCTTCTGCTTGAAAAGCCGGGAGTTTCAGGTCATTTGCAGATAAAAGACAGCACACTTACAAGATTCTCTAGAGCTCAGTAAACCTTTTCTAAGACTCAAGGTGGCTCTTGTCCTTGGCAGAGAGACAGGATGCCATGCAGACAGGCAGGCAGCTCTGTCAGGGCTGGGTCCCGATTTCTGAGCAGAGCTGGGAGCCGGGCTGGCAGCAAGGCTGAGTCCCGCAAACCTATAACCCACCCTGGACTGAATTCCGCAGCTGGGACAGCTTCTCTGTCTCGTAACCATGATGGTGTGTTTTAAAAATCGTAGTGGACACTAACTTACAGTTTCTCAAATTATTTCTCTATCACCCAGACCCCATTTTCCATAAAGGGTTTCATGGTAATCATTTAGTGAGGGACCAAAGAGCTTCCTCTAGATGTTTGCCACACTGAATTAAACGAGCCACAGGAGGCATACACCAACATGAAGAGGCGCAAAAGGGACAATATTTTTTATCCTGAAAACAAAGACCTAGAAAAGATGACCAGCATGTATGTTGCGGCCTTTCCCTCAACAGGCGCTCTGATCGCTTTCTTTAAAGCTGTCCTCCTGAAACCACATCCCCAAAGAGGCGGCATGCACTCAGACTGCACTTTGTTCTTGTAATTAAAGAGTTTCCTCAGCTTGACCTCCCCCAGTTATCCCTGTAAATTCCTGTCCCCATCGTTAATCATCAGAGGCGGTTCCAGAGCCTGGTATTGCTAAAGCTGTCATAGTCCTTACTGTGCTGGGCCCTTGTGGCTCTGGACAGATGGGCAGCTGAGCCCCTGATGCCCATTTTATAATGAGACATGGACACAGAGAATTTCAGGGATTTGCCAGGCCAAGAAGAGGAGATGTGAGTTTGGAGACAGGCCATGGCTCTTAACTGCATCCTGGGGCTTGAATCCCATAAAGCACAACCCCAAGGAGATACAGTGGGAAAGAACCCCTACTGAGGCCCTGACTGTGCCTCCTGGGGCCTCACCTCTCATGTTGATCACCAGCTCCCTTCTCACCATCTGGGTGATGGTCTTAGCAGCATCGCTGTGGGAAGGGACGTAGGCGAGCTCCCAGGTGTCTCCAGGCGGAGGGAAGGTGAAGAAGAGGGGCAGCTCCTGGATGGACTGGCCAGGGTAGATGGTGGCGTTGGGCACATTTTCAGACTGAATCTTCAAGCGAAGCCAAATCAGGATTCCAGAAAACAGTAATGGCAGGAAGAGTTCCAGGACTGTCACTAGAATCTTCCGCTTCTAGAAGAGAAATGACAACTGCATGTTGATGGAGTGGGAAGCAGAAGCTGTAGTGCACAGATGGCCCCTCCCCGAGGGCGTCCCGGGAGCCCCTGCCACTGCTGACACAGTGGTCACCCTTCTTTCGGGGGTCTGGACCCACCTTCAAAGTGTAGTTCTTCCAGAGCAGGAGTGTCAGCTGCCTGAGCACTGCCATCTTCTTGCTGGAAGGGACACCCAGCACTAGTTATAAACCAAAGACAGAAACTTTGGGCACATGATGGAAACATGAACAGTGGGTATGTAGGAAAGAACCACAAACCCTCCTCCTCCCACATGGTTCTGTGTCCCCTTAACCCCAAACACCTCGGAGAGACAGGTGCAAGGCCTGTGCCACCCTGACATTTCAAACACCCTATTTGTATGTCCAGAGAACACACACTCTTTCTGGAGACCGACTTGTCTCTTACTGAATGTAAGATCAACGGCATGCTGTTTATGTGCACTGAGACTGCTGTAGTGGTATTTATCATTTGATAAACACTATTCAGATGGTCTCTGTAGTTATTATAAATTTGATACGTATGAACAAAACATTCAGGCTTATGGAATTCCCCTCCCTAGCCAGCTTTATTCTCAACCAACAGAGAACCAGTAAAAGAAAACCTAACTTACTGTCCTGGCTGCAGGTGATTTCCAAGACTTAGGAGGGCTGTGAGGGAATAGGGAAAGAGAAGGCTGGAATCGGGTCCCTGATTGGCCTTGCAGACCCAGCAGCAGGACGGGGTTGGCAGGTGTGAGGGTTGGACAATTGATCATACTCTCTTGCCTTGAATCTAAGGACTGGTTTTTCCTGCCGTTCTTATGAGTGTTAGTATCTGAGCCTCTGCTGCATGATACTAGACATATTCATCTTTACCACCTGTCAGAGAAAATGCATCCCCAAAAAACCTATCCTACATCTCATATGAATATAATATTTAAATCTGGCACCTGTAACTGGGGAAAAAAATCTGCCAAGAGATTATCCAGTACAAGTGATAGGAGAAATGAGAGCTTAGATTTATAAAAGGTATCCCTTCATTTTGGTAAATCTGTTTTACTAAATTTCAAACATAAGAAACAGAGATGTCGAGCTCATGTGCTAGAGAAGTAGGTGGTCTGAATTAGCTCATGGGCAGACCCCACGACACCCAGGATACAGGAGGACCACCTTCTGAACACCGAGGGCATGGAGCTGAGGTGTGCAGAAGCAGCTGCCCGACCTAGAGAGGGCAGGGAAGGCAATGGAGGAGGGGGAGCCCCAGAAAGCCCCTGAACCTTGTCCACTCACTGAGAACTGTGGGAAGAGCAGAGAGGGGACTTTCCAGCTAAGCTTCCTTCAAGTAGAGAAAGTATTTGTAACTCACAGTGGAAGAGTTTCAAGTTCAGTTAATTAGCCTCACTTTCATGGCTAATACGAACCAAACATCATCCATCAGTCAGGATGGATCCATAAGACAGCACAGAATACAAAGAACTAGTGAATCATTCATTCATTAATGGAAGCTAACACTACTACCAAAATGACCTGGCTTGAGATTCCAGTGCATGGAGTGAGGGGGTTATTTGTTTTGTAAAATGACCCGTTTCACTTTTGGCTTCAGTTGGTTGAAAATCATTTCCATTAAGCCTCTTTTTTAAAAATTAAAACTCTTGCTTTTTAAAAAAAGATGTGGCTATTGATATCTGAAAATACTCAAAATGTATGCTTTAAAGGGTAGTCAATACATATTTGTAAAAAACACAACTGCAAGAAGTTAGTTACAAATTATTTAAAAATATGACTTGTAAACACATGCCAAAAATGTGAAGAAATTAAAGCTAAATAGTATGAAGTGCTACTAAGTGGCAACTTAATGAACTATCCCAATTCTTTTAAAATAAATAAGGTGGAAAAACTGTTATAAAATCAGTTGCAGACAATTAATAACTGAGCAGTAATTTAATGATACGCACTAAGGCCTGTGGTTTCCAAAAGGTTTCTGGAAGCAGTTTAGGCACAAAAGAGGAGGGCAGCACCTCCGGTCGGGGCTAGTTGTCCCTGGGCAGCTGGTTTAGCGAAGGTGAACTTTTTCTCTCTACCAAGAGAAGGATATGAAAAGGTCAGAGTTCAGAGAAGTCTTCTGGTCAGAGAAATAGACGACTTCCTTTTCTGGAAAAGTCTGGCCAAGAAAGGAAACATCCCCATGCTTAATCCCATCCTCTCCAGGCCCAGGGTGGGGAGGGATAGGCATAAAGACAAACCGTCCACCTTCCTACACATGCTCGAGAAGCAGCACCAGAGAACTGACCTGAATCCTGGGAGAGGCTCGGGGCAGCAGCTCTTCCTCCGAAGCTACGGGAGAACTGGCTGGTTGGAGGAGGCCCTGTGCAGAGGGCTCCGGGGTGGGGCCTGCAAGCCTCTCAAGTGGAGCAGGGCGACCCTGGGGCTCAGGAGCGTTGAGGCCTTGTGGGACATCAGGGGAGACGTGGGGCTCACGGGCATGACTTTTGGGCACCTTTGGGCAGGTGGAGGGTGCTTGAGCATAATTTGGGAAATAATCATAAAACACCTTTTACCAAGTTAGAAGATAAAAAGCAAAATAGATTGCAAGTCTGTTACTTAAAACACAGCAGATCTGATAACAAAGAAATACGGATTTAGAAAACAGGTACCTCACAGGTGGCTCTTTATTTTCTTTTGATAGATTAAAATACAAGAAGCTTTTATATTCTATACTGTTATACTTATAAGTAGTATACTTCTATAGCCTGCTAACCCAGCTCTGGCTTTTATAGACGAAGAACCCAAGAAGTACCTGGCCCAAAATCACACAGCAAGAAAGTTGCCAAGATTTGAACCTCAACCTCCTTTAACTCCTAAGTCTGTGCTCTTAACCACTACAGTACCACATCCTTGTATATCCTTTAAACAGTGAACACCTTTATAAATTTTTTATATATTGCTCCTAGAACATAACATTAGAAATCAGAAGGAAAAAAATATCCTTTTTAAGCCCCGCCACCTTCATTTATTTATCTCTGCACCCTCCCAGTGCCCAGCTTGTTGCTTTGTGCATGTGAGGCTGTATCTAAAGTTTCAGTGAATGCTACACTTGCATCGGTTCTGTTTGAGCAAAAGGAATCTAAAGGAGGAGATCCCAGAATTACAAAATCTGGGAAGCTTCCTGGTTACACAAGCAAATGTACACGAGGGAAGGAAGTTAAAGTTCCTTGAAACACTCAATACTACGGGGCACAGAGAGTCCCCAGGCGGCTGGACCCCTTCAGCTACTCTAAGGTGTACATGCAGGACACCGGCCACTTGCAAAGGTGTCACCAATGCCTGACAAGAGCATGTCCAAGAACTTCCCCTTGAAGAGGGCTTACTTCACTCCTCCCTGGGACACAACCAGGAAGGGAAAGGCAAATGTTTTTCCCCACTACTAAAAAGTCTGTTTGCTTACTGTTAAAATATTAAACATTACACAATTCGTTGAGTATTTTCAGTGTTTGTTTTTTAGGTGAACAATTGAATCAGTGCAGAGTGAGCACACACTGCAGGCTGCTAATTTCTGAGAACTCTCTTGATGGCACAAAGGATTCCTCTAAAAATGGTCTTTCCAGTAACTGTTGTTAGCCTAAGAGTTACTGGTGGTGCCAATGAATGAGCACCCGTGGTTCTTCTGGTGACCACTGCTCAGCAGTGAACTGGAGCAGTACCAAACACAGCCACTGTATTTTTGGGTGGGTTTTTTTTTTTTTTGCGTCAAGAAATTTGCCATCCAATATCTATATGCCCACTCAAAAGAAGTTTTTATTTCTGCATGTATGCAGCAGAATGGTGTTAAAACTTCTAGAGGTCACCAGCGGTGAGCAGGCTCAGGACCAGTGAGAGAAGTGAACAGGGCCCTAGTGCAAGGCACGAGACCAGTCATGTCATGTGTTCTTGTTATATTCTGAACTTGGGTGCATCTCCCTCCCTGGAAGCCTGTCTGCACAGGCCTAGAGTAAGACACTCATGGGAAAAAGAGGGTCTCAGTAAAGTCACAGGCAGACTCTGGACATTGCACAAAAAGTCAATGACCACAGCTCTGCTTAGTTTACCTCAGGTGTACAACACAGAGATGCCCTTGTTGGCAGCACTGGCCACACTTAGCACTGTTCCTCCGGGGTGAGGACATACTTCAGCAAGGAAAGCATTTCAACGCTGACAAGGGGAGTCTCCAATGGTTGGCTGGTGTCAAGGGTCTGCGTGTATGCATGCTGAAGAAAGTATGATAGGTACTTAATTGATATTTGCTGGAAGAATCTGTGGCCTTTTAGGGTACCCAAGATAAAAAAACGTTTATTCATTCAACAAGCATTTGTCAAGTGATTACTGTGTGATGGGTACTAAAGATTTTGAAATGGAAATGATAATGTTCTTAACCCAGGGAGTTCAGTCTTTGAATGCCTGTATGTATTGTAACAGCTGTAACTGAAGCTAAATATCACGAGATTCTGGAAAAGACAGGAATTAATTGTGTGTGTGCGTGTGTGTAGGCAAGTAAGGCAGAGAGATGGCCCTGGAAGGCTGCAGGGAGGAGTGACCCGGGAGACCACCCTCAAGTTACTCATCAGTGGGGGTGGGAGGGGCATTACGGGATCATGGAGAAGTGAAAGAGTGCGTGTGGGGGAGGGCAGCAAGTTGCTCTGACGGCCGGAACATGGACACAGGGACACAGGAGAGGCAGCAGTAAGGAGTGAGCCAGAAAGGCCAAGAAGGGGGACTAGGGTACCTCCAAATGGGCAGTACCATTTACCCAGTACATGATTTTTCTTTGGTGAATACAGGAAATATTTGAAAATGTCTAATTCAATGGATCCTGCTGATGAAATGCCCAAACACCAGTAAATATTGGGGAAAAAAAAAAGGTCAGAAATAGCAGGCATATTCATAGAGCATGGTCGCTGCCCTTGAATCCTGACAGTGGTCACCAAGAAGGGTGAGCAAGAAAATATTCGGCCATGAAAAAAGGGTGAGGAAATCTACTTATGAGTATTTTCCTTTAAAAATGAGAGAAAGATTGGCTTTACTGATATTTAATACACGGATGTACCCGGGCACTCTCTTTGGCTTGTGTGTCAGTGGCCACAATATCCAGCTGAGGAAGAGGAGCCTGGTGACATGCAAACATGACGTGGGCATCTCAGACATGTTGGAGTTTACATGTTTTAGGATATCATGGCTGTGGTCAACTTAAAAAAACAACAAGACCCTTAAATAGCTAAAGCTATACAATACTTTGAAGTGATATGAGAAGTGACCACAAATATCTTTTGTGTGACATGAAGGTTCACTGGTCATGTTTGACTTCGTATTACGAAGAGCCTGAGAATTTCAGAAGGAGATACAGGTTTTCTTTCATGAAAGTTCCAAATCTGGAGACTTTTTTTTTTCTAGTGCCAAAAGACTACAGCAGTGTGTCAACTATCTTTTTTCTCTTAAACACACACACTTGAATCTGTTCCTTCAAGGAAAAAAGTGACAATATGTGAGAATTACAGCTTTTCAAAATAATCTGTGCCAAGAACAGAGCATTTGTGAATATGGATGCTTCGAGACGTTTCCACAAGTATGTGAGCTCATTGCCTAGGCTGCTACAAGAGTACCATCTACATAAACACTTATATCTGCATACCAAAAAACCTTCTGCCCAGAATTTCTACCTTCCCTGATAGCTCCTGAACACAGACCAAATTCACCAAAGGCCCTCGCATGACTGGTAAATGGAATTGAAAAACAAGTGCCCTGAGTCATAAGCACAGTCTATGAGCCTTCAAGGGGTGTGTTGTGTTACCCGTAAATGCCACAGGAAGTGGGATCTGAAGTAAACAGATCTTAGAACCAGACCTTCAAATGCTGGGATTTGGGTTACACCAAGAGTTTATAAATGGGATGTGGACTTGACCACGACTTTCATTTAAAAAAAAAAATTTATAATATAGTTTTGGTACCATTAATACACTGAAAAAATTTAATAGTGTTTATTTCACCTCTCTGTTTTAAAAGATCTAATTTCTGTACATGCCTAGGTCCATAACGTAACAAGACTGGTATACAGCTATAATTTATAATTAAATTACATATGTGGGGATGCATGCTCAAATTCTTTTACACGCAGCAGCACACAAGAGAAAAGTTTGAGGATGACTTGTTTACACAGTGGCCCTGTGTGGATGAGGTGGGAACAAATCCACAAGCCGTGGCCACTGTCCAAGAGCCCCAGCAGGCTGAGTTTGAAGCTGTAGTTGTCAGGTGGAGACCTACCTCACTGGTGCTTACACCTACCACCATCGGCTCTGTCCAGGGCTGGGGTGGCTGTCTCCCTAGGATCACGTGGCTCTGGGGTTATACTGAAGCTCCTAGCAGGGGTTGGTAGGGTATATTTCCAAGCCGAAGATGTGGTGCAAAGGGGGCCACTGGGAGAGAGTTCCATGCAATGTGCCTCTGTGCTTTTCTAACTCTTGTATCTGGCTAGCTGTGCGGCCGGCCTCTCTAGGTGTAGAAAATGAGGTAAGGAGGCAATCAAGAACCCCTAGAGAGAGGTAACCAGGGATCTTCCGTAACAAGCAAGGTAGCAAGGAGCTCATTACGGCTCCTGCAAAGGCACCTGTCTTCCTGTTGACTCCAAACTTCTCCAAATGCCACAAACACCTCTGAGCCCATCAGGGGAATGGGCACTGCAAAACTCCTGGGACAGGAACTGTCATGCCTTACTCTTTCGCACACAATGTGGGCCTTCAGTGCTTTTGTCTGCTTACAATATCACCCAACATACCCATCTCTACCAGCTGAAACCCTACCTATCATTTTCCAGCCCACTTCTAGTGCCATGCCCTCTGTGAAGCAGCCTCTGATAAGTCTGGTTCAGGGGTTCTTTGTCTTGGCTGCACACTGTTACAGGGTCTGAAACAGAAACTGATGCCTGAGGCCCACCCGTGGAGATTCTGGGCTCTGGTCTGGGCACAGAAACGTCCCCCCAGGTGATCCTAACATGCAGCCTGGGTTGAGACCTTCTGCTCTTGTTGAAGCCACTCCTCCTCCACCTCTGGACACCTGCAGCACCTTTTCTAAATGTGTCACGTGGCACTTTTCTTGTTCTGTCTTATGTCACATTTGCTTGTGAATAAATCATCTCTTTAGCTCCATCCTAAGGTCCCCAAGGGCAGGGACCATGTCCAATTAATATTTCAATTGTGCACAGAACCTTACCTAGCAGGGCAGTCTCCAGAGTTCTAGAACAGACTTAATATAGAGGAGTGTACCACCATCTGGGGAAGCAGGGCTGGAGAAGGAACTGTAAATTAGGGAGTCTTACCTGGACCTTCCTGGTTGAGACTAAGTCAAAATAGGTTCCCATGAGACTGCCTGGCACATGCACTGTGGAAGGCTAATGTCTATTTAAAAACAACTCAAGCTACCCTCTCCTGTTCCAAAAGGCTGTCTTGTTGGAATGGTGGTAGATCACCTTAGAGAAGAAAAGATGTCATCCTGTTTGTCAGATATAGTAAGCAACAGTTCAATTAAAAATAAAATTCTCTAGGTTAAAAAAAAAGTGGGGGGGATTCCCATGACACCCATTTTTGCCTTTTTTCCTTTCTCTTACATTTCCTACGAGGCAAACTTTCTACAAGAAAACACGCTCAGTCTTTCCAAGTTTACAAAAAGCAGCACCAAAACTTTCTAAATAAAATGATACGGTTGCTCAGGAGAAGCACTCTTCCAGTGCACCTTGCTTGGGTCTGCATGCTGTTACAGGGTCTCAACCATGCATTTCACAAGCATTTCTTGAGTGCCTGTTATGTATCGGGAATACAAATACCAACAAGATCCAATCCATGTCTTCAAGGAGCTCACAGTCCAGGAGGACAACGGGCAAACAGAAATAACCCTCTAAGGTAACGGCTTTCATTCCGCCACTTACAAGGAAGTGAGGAGGGGGTATTCATTCATGCAACAAATGATACCAAGCATCTGCCCTAAGCCCTTGTGCAGAAGACAGTCTCTGCCCTCATGGAGCTTGGAGCCAGCTTAGGAAAGAGCCAAAACACGTGGAACAGCAACTCACAGGCCCATACGTACTGACCGTGGGCACCAGGGAAAGGACCTTAAGGTTGCTGCAGGCCCCTCCGCCTAGACCACTGGCTCTGCTGTCATGTCCCCAACCCAGGGGAGGGCGTCGCAAGCTCCCACCACATATAGTAGACCACCGGACCTCTATTCTGGGGCTCACTGGAATGAAGGTGTTAGCCAATATGGGAAGCATGCCCGCCCCTCACCTGGAATCCCTGCGGCCCTGTCTGCGCTCCCAAGCGCGGACACGGGACGCCATGCTCGGAAAGTGTGCCCCACGAGCGCCAGCGCGCCATTCTGACATCGGGGCTCCAACATTGCTACCGGCTGTCTACCTCCCGGCCCCACACAAAGGATCTGCAGCGACCCCAACCCTCCTCGCGCAGCCGGCCTCGGGCCGCAGTGACAGGGACACACCCAAGGGCTCCGTACGCCCGAGCGACCTGGCGCTGCGGGAGATGCACCTGCCGGAGCCGGCGCGGGAGGAGGGGCGCCGCAGCAAGAGGAACCGCACGCCAGGCCGGGGCTAGGGGCA